TGTTTTGTGTTCTAGGTTGATTATCTAGCTCATGTGTTTCTGTGTTGGCCGGGGTGGTTCTCAATCAGAGGCAACGAGTATCAGCTGTTGCTTGTTGTCTCTGATTGGGCACCATACTTAGGCAGCCTGTTTTCCATAGTGTTTTGTGGGATCTTGTTCCGTGTATGGTTTGTGTCTGTTACCTAGGACTTCACGTATCGTTTTGTTGTTTTGTTTCGTGTGGTGAATCAAATTAAAAGTATGTTCACTCATCACACTGCGCATTGGTCCACTTCCTCCAACGATCGTGACACCGTACTAGTTACGGACCTTGCCGATAGCGCAACACTATCAAACATTTTAAGTGTCCCTCTGATCCTAGCAGTACCCTCGTAGTTACGATCCTTGCCAGTAGCGCAACACTTTTAATCCAATAATTCCCTATACCCCCAGTTCCCACCCCTGGTGGTCCTAGCCTGAGGATTTCAGTATTTCCCCGATCCTAGCCATACCCTCGTAGTTACGGACCTTGCCGGTGGAACAATACTCTATGGTACCATGGTTTAACATCACATTCACCACAGGTTTGCATGTCACAATATGGTGCTTATCGACTCATAATAATTCGTATAATAATTCATAATTTAGTTCATTTACATCAAACAGGTGTTTCACAAAATTAATTTGGATAAAGCCAATGTGCAGAACTTTAATTATATAACAATAGGTGTCTGCTTACCTGTTTTTAGTTGTCCGGACTCTTTGTGAAACACACCGTCCAACGACAGCGATGTCCAATCGGCCGGACAATACCCAGCGAAGTCCCTCTACCAGATGACGTCGGCGGTCACCAATTGTCAAGTTGCGTCAATTCAAATCTGGTATAGGAACAAAAAGAGGTCAATACACGTCTTCTAAAATAGACTAGTATTTTAATTAATGCAAACACTTGAATGGTAAATATGATGTTCGTATATACGGGCCCACTGAAAAACCACGCAGGGCAGTCGGAGAACTGAGCTTTTGTTATAAGTTCTTCTTTAAATACTCTGACAGAGATAGTTCCCGCTCCCTGCTGGGCCTGTCAGAGTAGAGGCTGGGTGTGGTTTAAACTTACCCAACCTATCGATGGCGCACAGGCTGGTCCCAGCCCCTTGGCGCTTCACTGTTGCCGGGCATTAGTTGTTATCTTTACAACTTGTCTCGAGTCAGCAACCTCAGACATAGTTTGTTCTTCTTTGTAGCAGAACACATGTCCTTGAGCGGTTTAACAAAGAGGCTGTGTGTGTGAGTCACAAGCCTGTCTCAGCCTAACCCCTAACGGTTCCTCACATTAATCACAGCTTGTTATGTTAAACAATCTATATCAGTACAGCACAAACCTATTATGTTTAATCATTAATGTATTCTTTCTAAGCTAGGCATCACATCTAGTTGTAAGAAAATAGATCCCCACATGAAGAAGGCGCAACTGTGCCTCTTCAACCTCAGGAGGCTCAAGAAAATTGGCTTGGCACCTAAAACCCTCACAAACTTTTACAGATGCACAATTGAGAACATCCTGTCGGGCTGTATCACCGCCTGGTACGGCAACTGCAGGGCTCTCCAGAGGGTGGTGCGGTCTGCCGAACGCATTACCAGGGGCAAACTACCCGCCCTCCAAGACACCTAGAGCACCCGATGTCACAGGAAGGCCAAAAAGATAATCAATGACATCAACCACCCGAGCCACTGCTTGTTCACCCAGCTATCATCCAGAAGGCGAGGTCAGTACAGGTGCATCAAAGCTGGGACCGAGAGAATGAAAAACAGCTTCTATCTCAAGGCCATCAGACTGTTAAATAGCCATCACTAGCACATTAGAGGCTGCTGCTGCCTATTGAAATCACTGGCCACGTTAAGAAATGGAACACTAGTTACTTTAATAATGTTTACATATCTCATACAGTGAGGGAAAAAAGTATTTGATCCCCTGCTGATTTTGTACGTTTGCCCACTGAGAAAGAAATGATCAGAGTATCATTTTAATGGTAGGTTTATTTGAACAGTGAGAGACAGAATAACAACAAAAAAATCCAGAAAAACGCATGTCAAAAATGTTATAAATTGATTTGTATTTTAATGAGGGAAATAACTTTTTGACCCCCTCTCAATCAGAAAGATTTCTGGCTCCCAGGTGTCTTTTATACAGGTAACGAGCTGAGATTAGGAGCACACTCTTAAAGGGAGTGCTCCTAATCTCAGTTTGTTACCTGTATAAAAGACACCTGTCCACAGAAGCAATCAATCAATCAGATTCCAAACTTTCCACCATGGCCAAGACCAAAGAGCTCTCCAAGGGTGTCAGGGACAAGATTGTAGACCTACACAAGGCTGGAATGGGCTACAAGACCATCGCCAAGCAGCTTGGTGAGAAGGTGACAACAGTTGGTGCGATTATTTGCAAATGGAAGAAACACAAAATAACTGTCAATCTCCCTCGGCCTGGGGCTCCATGCAAGATCTCACCTTGTGGAGTTGCAATGATCATGAGAACGGTGAGGAATCAGCCCAGAACTACACGGGAGGATCTTGTCAGTGATCTCAAGGCAGCTGGGACCATAGTCACCAAGAAAACAATTGGTAACACACTACGCAGTGAAGGACTGAAATCCTGCAGCGCCCGCAAGGTCCCCCTGCTCAAGAAAGCACATATACAGGCCCGTCTAAAGTTTGCCAATGAACATCTGAATGATTCAGAAGAGAACTGGGTGAAAGTGTTGTGGTCAGATGAGACCAAAATCGAGCTCTTTGGCATCAACTCAACTCGCCGTGTTTGGAGGAGGAGGAATGGTGCCTATGACCCCAAGAACACTTGGGTGAGAACCTCCTTCCCTCAGCCACGGCAATGAAAATGGGTCGTGGATGGGTATTCCAGCATGACAATGACCCAAAACACACGGCCAAGGCAACAAAGGAGTGGCTCAAGAAGAAGCACATTAAGGTCCTGGAGTGGCCTAGACAGTCTCCAGACCTTAATCCCATAGAAAATCTATGGAGGGAGCTGAAGGTTCGAGTTGCCAAACGTCAGCCTCGAAACCTTAATGACTTGGAGAAGATCTGCAAAGAGGAGTGGAACAAAATCCCTCCTGAGATGTGTGCAAACCTGGTGGCCAACTACAAGAAACGTCTGACCTCTGTGATTGCCAACAAGGGTTTTGCCACCAAGTTCTAAGTCATGATTTGCAGAGGGGTCAAATACTTATTTCCCTCATTAAAATGCAAATCAATTTATAACATTTTTGACATGCGTTTTTCTGGATGTTTTTGTTGTTATTCTGTCTCTCACTGTTCAAATAACCTACCATTAAAATTATAGACTGATCATGTCTTTGTCAGTGGGCAAACGTACAAAATCAGCAGGGGATCAAATACTTTTTTCCCTCACTGTATGTTTATACTGTATTCTATTCTATAATATTCTACTGTATCTTGGTCCATTCCGCTCTGTCATTGCGTGTCCATATATGTATATATTCTTAAATTCCATTCCTTACTAGATTTGTGTGTATTGGGTATATGTTGTGAAATTGTTAGATATTACTTGTTAGATATTACTGCACTGTCGGAGCTAGAAGCACAAACATTTAGCTACACCCGCAATAACATCTGCTAAACACGTGTGACAATTAAAATTTGATTTGGATTTGATTTGAACCATTTTCGTGAATGGGGTGGTGTACCTAATAAACTGTCAATGAGAACTACCTTCTCAAGGAACTTGACCTTTTCTACAATCTTTTGCTTTGCTATTATTTGTCGTTTAACCCTGCAAAACTCATTTTTGTATTTATTTACATGCAAATCATGTAAATCAGTGACACTGGTCTTGTTTTAATAATCGACTCAGATGCTCAATCTTCCATGTCTAGAGGAACCCATTGATTAGAAATAGATCCTTACCTTACAGCGCCCTATTCTTCAAGACTGTTAAATACCAGGAACACACATGCTATCCTCTTCTCCCCCTTTAGGCGACACAAGGCACCAAGGCCAACCACTCTGAGCTGAGGCATTACAATGATAGTACAGTCGTGGTCAAAAGTTTTGAGAATGACACAAATATTAATTTTCACAAAGTCTGCTGCCTCAGTTTTTATAATGGCAATTTGCATATACTCCAGAATGTTATGAAGAGTGATCAGATGAATTGCAATTAATTGCAAAGTCCCTCTTTGCCATGAAAATGAACTTAATCCCCCAAAAACATTTCCACTGCATTTCAGCCCTGCCACAAAAGGACCAGCTGACATCATGTCAGTGATTCTCTCGTTAACACAGGTGAGAGTGTTGACGAGGACAAGGCTGGAGATCACTCTGTCATGCTGATTGAGTTAGAATAACAGACTGGAAGCTTTAAAAGGAGGGTGGTGCTTGAAATCATTGTTCTTCCTCTGTTAACCATGGTTACCTGCAAGGAAACACGTGCCGTCATTATTGCTTTGCACAAAAAGGGCTTCACAGGCAAGGATATTGCTGCTAGTAAGATTGCACCTAAATCAACCATTTATCGGATCATCAAAAACTTCAAGGAGAGAGGTTCAATTGTTGTGAAGAAGGCGTCAGGGCGCCCAAGAAAGTCCAGCAAGCGCCAGGACCGTCTCCTAAAGTTGATTCAGCTGCGGGATCGGGGCACAACCAGTGCAGAGCTTGCTCTGGAATGGCAGCAGGCAGGTGTGAGTGCATCTGCATGCACAGTGAGGCGAAGACTTTTGGAGGATGGCCTGGTGCCTGGTGTTTTTCTCTCCAGGAAAAACATCAGGGACAGACTGATATTCTGCAAAAAGGTACAGGGATTGGACTGCTGAGGACTGGGGTAAAGTCATTTTCTCTGATGAATCCCCTTTCCGATTGTTTGGGGCATCAGGAAATACTTGTGTCATTCTCAAAACTTTTGACCACGACTGTATAGGCAAGTTTTTTTCCTCACAATAAAGATGTGAAGGAATAAAGTAAATAAATAAATTAACTGGAGCATATAGTTTATAGAAATAAACACTTTATCAGTCGGTCTTTCTTCTCCTTAACAAACAAGTTCAATATAATTTAAACATAGAATAGTGACGTTACGTTGGCTACGTTAAGACTGGCACTATACTGAAACAGAATCACAGACCTGGGCTTCACCGTCTCTGTATCAAATCGTTCCTTTAAAGATAAATAGTTTCAATGTTACACCCACCCAGTATATAATTGGTTTACACCCAAAGTTGATTTAGGCATCGTTGTACATATATGTCCTTAACAAAAATATAAATATATTTTTTGATCCCGTCAGTACATTTTGGTCATGCAAAATAAAAAGCTAAGACATGCCAGAACACCACTTCACCAACAAATTGTTACAATAAGATTTTCAAACCATATACAATAGATACATGATATACTGCAACATCGTACAGCATACAGATTAGGCTAATACTGTGCAATCACACATTTGCACTATGCAAAATATGTGTAATCATTAAGCTTCACTCTGAAAAATCTTTAAAACAACCTTATAAGACACATTTTAGAAATATCACATCTAATGAAACAGCAAAAATATACATCTTTCAGGTCCCGTTTCCTTTTTGTGCATTTCAAATGGTACATTCTTCACAATGTTGTCTCTGATTTGGTACAATAAGATTCATAAACAAAAACAACAGCGACAATCATATGACGATACATACAAAGCAATATTCATGACGACAACTATCATGATAGTGAGCTACTTCTTCAAAGTGCAAAGAGAGCAGGTTGTTGAGTGTGTAAGACCTGATGCCAACAGCTGAAGTCTGTCTGTCTGCCTGTGCTCCTTTATTAAAGGATACAATAGCTCTCTGAGAAAAGGGTTGATTTAAGGGCTCTCATTTTAAGGACTTTCTATACTCTGTAACGTTAAAAAAGTGCAGGCACTATTAGAAATGCAGAACATCTCTGTCTTCAAGGAAGGTCAGTGTTTATGTTCTTCTGTCTGGGGGGTTTGATTGTGTTTTGAAGGTTGTGTTTTCTGAGGGGCCCTCAGGAGTAGGAGAGGGTCCTCAGGAGCTCGTTGAGGCCCTTATGGACGTTGGCAGGCTGGGAGGTGGCGCACTCTGCCAGCCAAGGCCCCATGTGGGTATAGAGGGCTTGGCACAGGTTGACGGTGGCCCCCCGCACGCTGCCGCCCCGGCCGTGGACGGTGCCGCTATGGCTGGATGTGCCCAGGAGGTGCCACAGCAGGGGTAACACCTTCTGTTCCACCACCTGGGGTTTACGGGGATACAGCTCTGTCACCAGATCTGAAAGACAGGCCAGAGGAGGGAGGGAGGTAGCAGGATGAGGAGTCAAACACATTGTAACAAGGAGCTTATGAAATGCTGAGAGCATATGGCCCTGACATCTTTTTCTCCCTCCTTTTAAGAGGCTAAAGACTCTTTGGATGACAGGCAGAAAGACCGTTGCCATTGCACTGTTGCTTAGGAGCTTTTGTCAACTCAGATCCTAATCCAAATGTTAAAAGCCAAATTAAGTTTACAAAGTGTAATCTATGTAATTTAGGTACCGAAGGGAATTTCTCAAGGAAACAGTTTCAGTGAACATACCTGCAACCTTCTCTATGAGATCCACCTTCGCCTTGCCACTCAGGAATTGGGCCTTGGTGCAGAAGGGCTGGAGGAGGAGAGTGTTATCTGTGAACAAAGTCAAGTTAGAGCTGGTCATCCTCTCCGCTACATTCAAGCCTAAAACCAGATGATGTGATGGCAAACATCATCAGACACCCACCCAAGTTTTGGATGAGTGCGTGGATGGCTCCAATAGCAGCAGTGTAGATAGCGTTGTTCTTGGAGTTGAGGTGATTGTCCACGATGGCTGGGACCAGGATGTAGACTACCTGGGCAAGGTTATCCTTCATCACAGTGACGATCTTCTGCAGAGACTCTAGAGCGTACAGGTTGACCTTACTGTTGGACTCCTGCAGTCTGGCCTTAAAGGCATCAAACACCTGTGAGAGAAGGACAGAGGGAGGAGAGCAGCATTACTACAGATTCAACAATGACCTACTTACACAGGCCCTTTTATCTATGGAACTTTGTATGGTTTATTTCGTCAATAAAAGTTATAGCTAGTATTTTTTGTGATAGTCAGAGGATTTCGGCCTTTGGCAGCTTAGGGTATATGAGGCCAAAAAATATCCTGTTTTGTTCTGCTGACATCAGGTACCGGAAAGATGCTGCCGATGACCATGTTGGGGTTGTGCTCGCAGTCCACCATTAGCTGGTCGATGCCCTTAATGCGCTCTCTAAAGTCCTTTGAACCCAGCAGGGCTGTGAGCTGCTTGATGTACTCTGTCTTGTCTGCAATGCTGTGAGCTTGAGGTCTTCCATTATACTGCCCAGACTCCCTGCAGATACACAAACAGTAGGTAAGACATGGAGAGGGGAGTTCATACTGATGGATACACACATGAACAAACTGTACATTCATTGACACAAACTGTGCTAATGCATGGACAAACAGCAAGGCTAGCCATGGCTACAATCATAACAGTTCAGTATACTAGGGATGTAGACTTGATGAGAGACTAAATTGAGGGATAGTATGGACAGTGCTACATGTTTCCGTTCGTGTTGCGTTTTCCCACCTGTTGACCACTTTGAGTGGTTCCCTGTTGAGAGATGAGGCCCTCACTGTCCCACTACCAGGGTGGGAATGCCGGCCCCTGGCTGACGGGGTGTCCTGGGGCATCTCTCCCAGGCCCTGCAGAACACATTAACACACATCAAATCAAATCACATTTTATTTGTTACGTGCCGAAATGCTTACCAACAATGCAGTTCAAGAAAGAGTTAAGAATATATTTACTAAATAAACTAAGGTAAAAAATAAATAAAAAGTAACACAATAAAATAACAATAACGAGGCTATATACAGGGGGTACCGGTACCGAGTCAATGTGCGGGGGTACAGGTTAGTCGAGGTAATTTCTACATGTAGCTATGGGTAAAGTGACTATGCATAGATAATAAACAGCAAGTAGCTGTTTCAATGTAAATAGTACGGGTGGCCATTTGATTAATTGTTCAGCAGTCTTATGGCTTGGGGGTAGAAGCTGTTAAGGAGCCTTTTGGTCATAGACTTGGCGCTCCGGTACCGCGCGGTAGCAGAATGAACAGTCTATGACTTGGGTGACTGGAGTCTTTGAACAATTTTTGGGGCCATCCTCTGACACCGCCTAGTATATAGTTTGTGGATGGCAGGAAGCTTGGCCGCAGTGATGTACTGGGACCATACGCACTACCCTCTGTAGTGCCTCACGGTCAGATGCCGAGCAGTTGCCATACCAGGCGGTGATGCAACCGGTCAGGATGCTCTTGATGGTGCAGCTGTATCACTTTTTGAGGATCTGGGGACCCATGCCAAATCTTTTCAGTCTCCTGAGGGGTAAAAGGTGTTGTCGTGCCCTCTTCACGACTGTCTTGGTGTGTTTGGACCATGATAGTTTGTTTGTGATGTGGACACCAAGGAAATTGAAACTCTCGACCCGCTCCACTACAGCCCCGTCAATGTTAATGGGGGCCTGTTCGGCCCGCCTTTTCCTGTAATCCACGATCAGCTCCTTTGGCTTGCTCACATTGAGGGAGAGGTTGTTGTCCTGGCACCACACTGCCAGGTCTCTGACCTCCTCCCTATAGGCTGTTTCATCGTTGTCGGTGATCAGGCCTACCACTGTTGTGTCGTCAGCAAACTTAATGATGGTGTTGGAGTCGTGATTGGCCACGCAGTCGTGGGTGAACAGTGAGTACAGGAGGGGACTAAGCACGCACCCCTGATGGGCCCCAGTGTTGAGGATCAGCGTGGCCGATGTGTTGTTGCCTACCCTTATCACCTGGGGGCGGCCCGTCAGGAAGTCCAGGATCCAGTTGCAGAGGGAGGTGTTTAGTCCCAGGGTCCTTAGCTTAGTGATGAGCTTTGTGTGCACTATGGTGTTGAACGCTGAGCTGTAGTCAATAAACAGCATTCTCACATAGGTGTTCCTTTTGTCCAGGTGGGAAAGGGCAGTGTGGAGTGTGATTGAGATTGCGTCATCAGTGGATCTGTTGGGGCGGTATGCGAATTGGAGTGGGTCTAGGGTTTCCGGGATGATGGTGTTGATGTGAGCCATGACCAGCCTTTCAAAGCACTTCATGGCTACCGACGTGAGTGCTACAGGGTGGTAATAATTTAGGCAGGTTACCTTCGCTTCCTTGGGCACAGGGACTATGGTGGTCTGCTTGAAACATGTAGGTATTACAGACTCAGTCAGGGAGAGGTTGAAAATGTCAGTGAAGACACTTGCCAGTTGGTCCGCGCATGCTTTGAGTACAACTCCTGGTAATCCGTCTGGCCCCGCAGCTTTGTGAATGTTGACCTGTTTAAAGGTCTTGCTCACACCGGCTACCGAGAGCGTGATCACACAGTCGTCCGGAACAGCTGGTGCTCTCCTGCATGCTTTAGTGTTGCTTGCCTCGAAGCGAGCATAAAAGGCATTTAGCTCATCTGGTAGGCTCGCGTCACTGGACAGCTCGCAGCTGGGTTTCACTTTGTAATCCGTAATAGTTTTCAAGCCCTGCCACATCCGACGAGCGTCAGAGCCGGTGTAGTAGGATTCAATCTTAATCCTGTATTGACGCTTTGCCTGTTTGATGGTTTGTCTGAGGGCGTAGCGGGATTTCTTATAAGCGCCCGGGATTAGTGTCCCGTTCCTTGAAAGCGGCAGCTCTAGCCTTTAGCTCGATGTTGCCTGTAATCCATGGCTTCTGGTTGGGATATGTACGTACGGTCACTGTGGGGACGACGTCGTTGATGTACTTATTGATGAAGCTGGTGACTGAGGTGGTATACTCCTCAATGCCATTGGATGAAACCCGGAACATATTCCAGTCTGTGCTAGCAAAACAGTCATGTAGTGTAGCATCCGCGTCATCTGACTACTTCCTTATTGAGCGAGTCACTGGTACTTCCTGCTTTAGTTTTTAGCTTGTAAGCAGGAATCAGGAGGATATAATTATGGTCAGATTTGCCAAATGGAGGGCGAGGGAGAGCTTTGTATGCATCTCTGTGTGTGGAGTAAAGGTGGTCTAGAGTTTTTGTCCCTCTGGTTGCACATGTGACATGCTGGTAGAAATTAGGTAAAACGGATTTAAGTTTGCCTGCATTAAAGTCCCCGGCCACTAGGAGCGCCGCTTCTGGATGAGCATTTTCTTGTTTGCTTATGGCCTTGTACAGCTCGTTGAGTGCGGTCTTAGTGCCAGCATTGGTTTGTGGTGGTAAATATACGGCTACGAATAATAAAGATGAGAACTCTCTTGGTAGATAGTGTGGTCTACAGCTTATCATGAGGTACTCTACCTCAGGCGAACAATACCTCGAGACTTCTTTAATATTAGACATTGCGCACCAGCTGTTATTGACAAATAGACACACACCCCCACCCCTCGTCTTACCAGACGTAGCTGGTCTGTCCTGCCGATGCACAGAAAACCCAGCCAGCTCTATATTATCCATGTCGTCGTTCAGCCACGACTCGGTGAAACATAAGATATTACAGTTTTTAATGTCCCGTTGGTAGGATAGTCTTAATCTTAGATCATCTATTTTGTTTTCTAATGATTGCACGTTGGCCAATAGAATGGATTGTAGTGGAGGTTTACTCACTCGCCTACGAATTCCCAGAAGGCAGCCCGACCTCCGCCCCCTTTTTCTCTGTCTTTTCTTCACGCAAATGACGGGTATTTGGGCCTGTTCTCTAGAAAGCAGTATATCCTTCGCTTCTGACTCGTTAAATAAAAATGATTCGTCCAGTTCGAGGTGAGTAATCGCTGTTCTGATGTCCAGAAGCTTTTTTCGGTCATAAGAGACGGTAGCAGCAACATTATGTACAAAATAAGTTAAAAAATAAGTTACAAACAACGCAAAAAAACAAACAAAATAGCACAGTTGGTTAGGAGCCCGTAAAACGGCAGCCATCCCCTCCGGCGCCATTGTAGACACATGTAAATTAAGCGCAGCAGGTTCATACTGCAAACCCGACTGATAGCATCAGCTGATATTCCACCAATTAGATTCATCACTCTACCTTAATATGGTGGTCTATTTAGTCGACCGGGTTCTGCACACACATTCTGATGGCTGCCGCGCGCAAGCCATGTGCTGGTGTTCTTGGTGACATGCCATTTCTGTTTTCCCACCACCAACCCCAGCCTCCACCTGTTTGGGCTCTGCTTTTGTTCGTTCAGAGGGATTGGTATAGTATACCTTGCTCACTGCCTGTAATTATTATCATCTTACATGATGTATGCTCTGGCAGTGAGCTACCCCGAAGGAGCAAAGACTAATGTACTGCATTTATTGTCATCTTTTCTAATAAATGGTTAAATGAATGTGGCGTTTCCTGTCTGAGCCACTGCTTCCTTACAGTAACAGTGTCTTGTCTCAAAACGCAAGCCCCCAGCAGGGGGAGACTAAAATAGAAAGGAATGACTCATAACAGTCCCACACACCTTCTCAGTTAGACAGTGTTCTGTAACTTAGTCTTCAATGTGAAGACAGGTTCCAGTGTTCCATGTGCGGGGGCACCGGCTAGTTGAGGTAGTTGAGGTAATATGTACATGTGGGTAGAGTTAAAGTGACTATGCATAAATACTTAACAGAGTAGCAGCAGCGTAAAAAGGATGGGGTGGGGGGGGCAGTGCAAATAGTCCGGGTAGCCATTATTAGCTGTTCAGGAGTCTTATGGCTTGGGGGTAGAAGCTGTTGAGAAGTCTTTTGGACCTAGACTTGGCACTCCGGTACCGCTTGCCGTGCGGTAGCAGAGAGAACAGTCTATGACTAGGGTGGCTGGAGTCTTTGACAATTTTGAGGGCCTTCCTCTGACACCGCCTGGTATAGAGGTCCTGGATGGCAGGGAGCTTTGCCCCAGTGATGTACTGGGCCGTACGCACTACCCTCTGTAGTGCCTTGCGGTCAGAGGCCAAGCAGTTGCCATACCAGGCGGTGATGCAACCAGTCAGGATGCTCTCGATGGTGCAGCTGTAGAATTTTTTGAGGATCTGAGGACCCATGCCAAATCTTTTTAGTCTCCTGAGGGGGAATAGGCTTTGTCGTGCCCTCTTCACGACTGTCTTGGTGTGTTTGGACCATGATAGTTCGTTGGTGATGTGGACACCAAGGAACTTGAAGCTCTCAACCTGTTCCACTACAGCCCCGTCGATGAGAATGGGGGCGTGCTCAGTCCTCTTTTTTTTCCTGTAGTCCACAATCATCTCCTTTGTCTTGGTCACGTTGAGGGAGAGGTTGTTGTCCTGGCACCACACGGCCAGATCTCTGACCTCCTCCCTATAGGCTGTCTCATCGTTGTCGGTGATCAGGCCTACCACTGTTGTGTCGTCGGCAAACTTAATGATGGTGTTGGATTCGTGCCTGGCCATGCAGTCATGGGTGAACAGAGAGTACAGGAGGGGACTGAGCACGCACCCCTGAGGGGCCCCCGTGTTGAGGATCAGTGTGGCAGATGTGTTGTTACCTACCCTTACCACCTGGGGGCGGCCCGTCAGGAAGTCCAGGATCCAGTTGCAGAGGGAGGTGTTTAGTCCCAGGATCCTTAGTTTAGTGATGAGCTTAGAGGGCACTATGGTGTTGAATGCTGAGCTGTAGTCAATGAATAGCATTCTCACGTAGGTGTTCCTCTTGTCCAGGTGGGAAAGGGCAGTGTGGAGTGCGATAGAGATTGCATCATCTGTGGATCTGTTGGGGCGGTATGCAAATTGGAGTGGGTCTAGGGTTTCTGGGATTATGCTGTTGATGTGAGCCATGACCAGTCTTTCAAAGCACTTCATGGCTACAGACGTCAGTGCTACGGGTCGGTAGTCATTTAGGCAGGTTATCTTAGAGTTCTTGGGCACGGGGACTATGGTGGTCTGCTTGAAACATGTTGGTATTACAGACTCAGTCAGGGACATGTTGAAAATGTCAGTGAAGACACTTGCCAGTTGGTCAGCACATGCTCGGAGTACACGTCCTGGTAATCCGTCTGGCCCTGCGGCCTTGTGAATGTTGACCTGCTTAAAAGTCTTACTCACATCGGCTACGGAGAGCGTGATCACATAGTCGTCCGGAACAGCTGGTGCTCTCATGCATGCTTCAGTGTTGCTTGCCTCGAAGCGAGCATAGAAGTGGTTTAGCTCGTCTGGTAGGCTTGTGTCACTGGGCAGCTCGCGGCTGTGCTTCCCTTTGTAGTCTGTAATAGTTTTCAAGCCCTGCCACATCCGACGAGCGTCAGAGCCAGTGTAGTATGATTCAATCTTAGACCTGTATTGACTCTTTGCCTGTTTGATGGTTCGTCGGAGGTCATAGCGGGATTTCTTATAAGCGTCCGGGTTAGAGTCCCGTTCCTTGAAAGCGGCAGCTCTACCCTTTAGCTCAGTGCGGATGTTTCCTGTAATCCATGGCTTCTGGTTGGGGTATGTACGTACGGTCACTGTGGGGACGACATCATCGATGCACTTATTGATGAAGCCAGTGACTGATGTGGTGTACTCCTCAATGCTGTCTGAAGAATCCAAAGACAGTGTTCTGTACCTTAGTCTACAGTGTGAAGACAGTGTTCTTACCTTAGTCTACAGTGTGAAGACAATGTTCTGTACCTTAGTCTACAGTGTGAAGACAGTGTCTGTACCTTAGTCTACGTGTGAGACAGTGTTCTGTACCTAGTCTTCAATGTGAAGACAGTGTTCTGTACCTTAGTCTACAGTGTGAAGACAGTGTTCTGTACCTTAGTCTTCAGTATGAAGACAGTGTTCTGTACCTTAGTCTACAGTGTGAAGACAGTGTTCTGTACCTTAGTCTACAGTGTGAAGACAATGTTCTGTACCTTAGTCTACAGTGTGAAGACAGTGTTCTGTACCTTAGTCTACAGTGTGAAGACAGTGTTCTGTACCTTAGTCTTCAGTATGAAGACAGTGTTCTGTACCTTAGTCTTCAGTATGAAGACAGTGTTCTGTACCTTAGTCTACAGTGTGAAGACAGTGTTCTGTACCTTAGTCTACAGTGTGAAGACAGTGTTCTGTACCTTAGTCTTCAGTGTGAAGACAGTGTTCTGTAACTTAGTCTTCAATGTGAAGACAGTGTTCTGTACCTTAGTCTTCAGTGTGAAGATAGTGTCTCTGATGGGAGCCAGGTCTTTGGCAGGGATATATTTCTCCAACATCTTATCGAAATCACGGTGCGGTGACAGAAACAGCAGCATTCGGCGCCCCTGGTACCTGAGGGGCAGAACAGCCTCAGAGTCAAACAATGCCACTCACTCTATTGATAACAGATACACTTGCTGGTATTAAAACAGACACTCATTGGTATTAAACAGAATTTCCTCCCTACCTAGCTTCCTGGGAGGAGTCTTGTGCCAGCTTGGTGACGGCAGGTAGGATTCGGTCAGTGAGGTCTTTCCCTCCAGACAGCAGACGGGCAGCACCAATGTTCTCCATCAGGTTGGCCATGTGATGACCCGCGCACTTCCTCACCACGGAGTTCAGGTGACTGTTCACAAGAGACAATATCAGGGATGTGGTCAGCACCACATAGAAAATAAAGCCTAATGGCCTATTTTAATGATAAGATACAAGCATGATAAAAATGTAATATCTACAAGCAAAGCATGTAGTCCTAATTCAGGTGAAGAACAGCTGAAAGTGCTATCTGGTGAGGTGAGTGTGTCTGACCTGAGGCCGCTGGTGAGCAGGGCGTTCAGGCTGCGTGTGGGGGTGCAGTGTTGCACCATGCTGTCCAACGCTGCATCCACATCCTGCCTGATGAAGGCGTTGGTCTCCCCAGCCTTCTGCAGCAGAGCCTTGGCCGTGCCCTCCAGCTCCTGGTCCATGCCCTTCTGCAGCGCGGTGTACAGCTCACCCATCGCCCCAACCGCAACACGGGACACACCTGAACGAAGGTTCCTCACCTGGGGAGCAATACACTCAGATGTTGATATCATTAAATTATATAAAAAATTATAATCAGACATCTGAGTAAGGGCTTGAATGGTCAAATGTCCTCATCAGGACATTGGAAAATCAATCATTGAGGGCTAAAGTCTACAAGGACCACCCTGTACTGAATTGATTGAGGCTGAGATTATGATTAGAAGGAGATTGGATGAGGGTCCCCAGGACAATGGACTGCCGTTTCACATGAATGAGGAGTTGTGGTCGTACCTCTTGGATGAGTGCGAGACAGACGTCATGCAGCCTGTTCAGCAGTATGTCTGAATGGTAATGAGTCAGACCACGGAGAAAGGTCAGGCCCTCAATCTTCTTCTCCCTTCAATCAAAAATAGAGAAATAGAAATTGAGTAAATCCAATCCATTGCTTATATGCATAGAACAATAATACATTGACTTTTGACATAGGGTCTTACTAGACAATGTTTAAGTATAGCATCTGATTAAAGTAACTGTCCAGTGAAAAAATGAAAAGTCCAGTGAAAAGTTCATATTCTGTTAACTCATACACAAATAATGTTGTTGACTCGTCCTATACTCGTATTTCTGGCCAAAGCATAATTGGAGAGAAAACACTTACAGTGCATTCGGAAAGTATTCAGACCCCTTGACTTTTTACACATTTTGTTATGTTACAGCCTTGTTCTAAAATGGATGAAATTGTTTTTTTCCCCCTCATCAATCTACACACAATACCCAATAATGACAAAGCAAAACCAGGATTGTAGATATTTTTGCAAATATATAAAATAAAAAACCCTGAAATATTACATTTACATAAGTATTCAGACCCTTAACTCAGTACTTTGTTGAAGCAGTGATTAAAGCCTTGAGTCTTCTTCGGTATGATGGATTCATCTCTGCAGATCCTCTCAAGCTCTGTCAGGTTGGATGTGGAGCATTGCTGCACAGCTATTTTCAGGTCTCTCCAGAGATGTTCGATCGAGTTCAAGTCTGGGCTCTGGCTAGGCCACTCAAGGACATTCAGAGACTTGTCCTAAAGCCATTCCTGCGTTGTCTTGGCTGTGTGCTTAGGGTCGTTCATCAGATGGTCTGATGAAACCAAGATTGAACTCTTTGGCCTGAATGCCAAGCATCACGTCTAGATGAAACCTGGAACCATCCCTACGGTGAAGCATGGTGGTGGCAGCATCATGCTGTGGGGATGTTTTTCAGCGGCAGGGACTGGGAAAGGATCGAGGGAAAGATGAACGGCGCAAGGTACAGAGAGATTCTTGATGAAAACCTGCTCCAGAGCACTCAGGACCTCAGACTGGGGCGAAGGTTCACCTTCCAACAGGACAACGACCCTAAGCACAATCTTGTTTCTCATTGTCTGAGAGTCTTAGGTGCCTTTTGGCAAACTCCAAGCAGGCTGTCATGTGCTTTTTACTGAGTAGTGGCTTCTGTCTGGCCACTTTACCATAAAGGGCTGATTGGTGGAGTGCTGCAGAGATGGTTGTCCTTCTGGAAGGTTCTCCCATCTCCACAGAGGAACCTTGGAGCTCTGTCAGAGTGACCATCGGGTTCTTGGTCACTTCCCTGACCAAGGCCCTTCTCCCCCGATTGCTCAGTTTGGCCGGGCGGCCAGCTCTAGGAAGAGTCTTGGTGGTTCCAAACGTCTTCCATTTAAGAATTATGGAGGCCAATGTGTTCTTGGGGACCTTCAATGCTGCAGAAATGTTTTGGTACCCTTCCCCAGATCTGTGCCGCAACACAATCCTGTCTCGGAGCTCTACGGACAATTCCTTCGACCTCATGGCTTGGTTTTTGCTCTGACATGCACTGTCAACTATGGGACCTTATATAGACAGGTGTGTGCCTTTCCAATTCATGTCCAATCAATTGAATTTACCACAGGTGGACTCCAATCACGTTGTAGAAACATCTCAAGGATGATCAATGGAAACAGGATGCACCTGAGCTCAATTTCGAGTCTCATAGCGAAGGGTCTGAATACTTATGTAAATAAGGTATTTCTGTTTTTTATTTTTATAAATTTGCTAACATTTCAAAAAAACTGTTTTTGCTTTGTCATTATGGGGTATTGTGTGTAGATTGATGAGGATTATTATTTTTTAAATCCATTTTAGAATAAGGCTGTAACATAACGAAATGTGGTAAAAGTCAAGGGGTCTGAATACTTTCCGAAGGCACTGTAAAAAACTCCCAACTCAAACTTGTATCTCAAACAGACTGTTTAAAAAAATCATAGAACATGTCATGTTGGCTCATTGGTTGAGCTGGCCAAACAGCGGTCTACTCGCATGAATATTTTTAAATGGCCGGTATATGCCCACATCTTTCTGTTGCGGCCGTGGTTGCAAATACTCAAGTTTTCACCCCTGTTCTGCCTCTCTGGAAACCTCTTTTTCAAAGCTAAGGATATGGATCATGTTCGACACACGTGTTATTTTACGCACACATTCACGGATCTCTCCTCACCCTCTTCTGAACCCTCAAACAATTTGATCGTCATGATGATGTATCCTATGTCTCTGCCTCATATTTCTGAACAGCTGAAATAAAAACCTGCAGCGATTTGAACGAACATTTCAAAAATATATTATGAAGGCTACAAAATTCTATCTGTTGTAACGGATATTGCCGTAGCACAAGCAAGACGCAGTCTACATATTGCATTGGGGCAAAACTATCAGCGTTTTGTGTGATGATGCAATCTTTATATTTATGCTGCCATATAGCCAGAGTTGCTGAATAAAGAACACTACGACTTTGACTGCCTGTCTGCCTCCCAATAGCCAATGTTTGCACATGAAATCGCTACACTGCCTGTTGTGTCGTGCTTATGTTTGCAATAGATTACTGTTATAACAGACAAAGAACTACGTATGTTCAAACTGTCTTGCGTGTATAAGCGGCAGCGGAGCACTGAGCAGCAGCTGAAAGGCCACGGAGGGGGAAGCGGTAGCGGATCCTGCACATGCGCAGAATTCTCTATATACACTATATATAGAAAAGTATGTGGACACCCCATCAAATTAGTGGATTCGCCTATTTCAGCCACACCCGTTGCTGACACGTGTATAAAATCGAGCACAAAGCCATGCAATCTCCATAGGAAACATTGGCAGTAGAATGGCCTTACTGAAGAGCTCAGTGACATTCAACGTGGCACTGTCATAGGATGCCACCTTTCCAACAAGTCAGTTCATCAAATTTCTGCCCTGGTAGAGCTGCCCGGTCAACTGTAAGTGTTGTTATTGTGAAGTGGAAATGTCTAGGAATAACAACGGCTCAGCCGCAAAGTGGTAGGCCACATAAGTTTACAGAACGGGACCACCGATTTCTGAAGCGCGTGGCGCGTAAAAATCGTCTGTCCTCGGTTGCAACACTTATGAGTTCCAAACTGCCTCTAGAAGCAACGTCAGCACAATAACTGTTCGTCTGGAGCTTCATGAAATGGGTTTCCATGGCCGAGCAGCCGCAAACAAGCCTAAGATCACCATGCGCAATTGCCAAGTGTCGGCTGGAGTGGTGTAAAGCTCGCCACCATTGGACTCTGGAGTAGTGGAAACGCGTTCTCTGGAGTGATGAATCCCACTTCACCATCTGGCAGTCTGACGGACAATTCTTGGTTTGGCGGATGCCAGGAGAATGCTACCTACCCCAATGCATAGTGCCAACTGTAAAGTTTGGTGGAGGAGGAATATTGGTCTGGGGCTGTTTTTCATGGTTCGGGCTAGGCCCCTTAGTTCCAGTGAAGGGAAATCTTAACGCTACAGCATACAATTACATTCTAGATTATTCTGTGCTTCCAACTTTGTGTCAACAGTTTGGGGAAGCCCCTTTCCTGTTTCAGCATGACAATGCCCCCGTGCACAAAGCGAGGTCCATACAGAAATGGTTTGTCGAGATCGGTGTAGAAGAACTTGACTGGCCTGCACAGAGCCCTGATCTCAATCCCATCAAACACCTTTGGGATTAATTGGAACGTCGACTATGAGCCAGGCCTAATCGCCCAACATCAGTGACCGACCTAACTAATGCTCGTGGCTGAATGGAAGCAAGTCCCTGCAGCACCTTCCCAGAAGAGTGGAGGCTGTTATAGCAGCAAAGGGGGGACCAACTCCATATGATTATGGAATGAGATGAGATGTTCGACGAGCAGGTGTCCATAAACATTTGGTCATGTAGTGTATTTAGCTACAAAAAGTTGTGTTCCAGAAAATTCGGAATTGCAGCCACTCCATTCTGTTGTTGGGGTATGCCCACACCATTCCAACACAGAAAATCTGCTTTTTAACATACTTAATTACAATTTATGGGAAGAAAAAACGATTTGACTCATTTTAATGAATTATAAGTCATATTTCATAGACATCTGGAAACACTGGACAGTTACTTTAAATGCTGGAGGTGGGGTTCAGTTGGACCCCAGGAAGATTAGTGGTTGCTAAAGCGTCAGTTAATAGGGATCCAAAGAATAAAGCTCACCAGTCGTCTGAGTTGAGGAGTTTGAAGCTCTGTGTTAGTGCTAGCTCAGGTTTGGAGAAGGGCCGTAGTTCAGGCTGCTCTGTCAGGTCTCTCTTCTGGCTGGGAGTGCCTGGGGACATCTCATCTGGAGGACAACCATATAATGAAATACAACACTAGTCCCCTGTAGCTCAGTTGGTAGAGCATGGCGCTTGTTCGTTTCCCACGGGGGGGCCAGTATGAAAATGTATGCACTCACTAAAACAAAGCATTGCACTCCATTATCTAAGAGAACATCTCATTTAGCGTTGCTAAGCTCTGCTACTGTTGGGGCTGTGATGGTCTAATTAGTAGTGCACTAAAACACTTTAGAATCTGGCTACACCTTCATGCTTGAATGAGATATGATGTGTTGACTAATCTATTCACCATGTTAAAAAAACATAATTAAGTTGTAAAAATTAATCAGAGAAATCACAGAACAAACAGGTCTGTATTGAACACTATAATTAAAAGCAGTGTAGAGCTTTAACTGCTATAACCGTAAATAACTGCACTTTAGAATAACCCTATAACTGCAAAGATGCAAAGAGACAGAGATTACATGACTGCCAGACTGTTACACTGACCTGAGCTGTGTGAGAGAGACAGCCGTGCCCTGCTGAGACTGGCAGCCCTCCTCAGGCGGGGCTGGGTGCTCCTGGGGTTGGGAGGGACCGTGGGGGGGCTGGGCTGGTGGGGGGGACTGAAACATTTAATGGGGCTCTGGGGTCCCTGGGGGCTGGTATGAGACTGGTCTTGGAGAGAGTCAGCCTTGGTGGACGTCCCCATGCCCCCGTTCAAATGCAAGTCTGTTAGGGGAAGAACAAACATTATAGAGATGAGCCACACGCACAAGCAGGAAGACATGCTACTGTCAGAGTAAAAATTACCCAAATTATTGCAACATTACAAAAGCCAGTTTATCTAGATTCTAGTGCATGAAGTGAAATATTGTACTAGGGTAAAGGATAGCCATGGAGAGTTAAGGAAGAAACATTGCACCGTTGGAAATGGCTGCTGTATCCTCTGTAGCCATGTCATTTTGCACCTGTCTGAGGCGCAGACGCATCCTGTCAGCTCTCTGGCGATCTCCCAGGGCGGGCTGGCCCTCCTGCTGCTCCAATCGGTGCTGCCGCATCTTGTCCCGAGCAAACCTTGTCATTCTCACCTTCTCCTTATCCTGCACACGAACACACAACCCCCCAGGTACACACATTCCACAGACTGATAGCAGTGGTAGAGGGCATTTTCCCCCAATCTGCAGCCTAATGAGAAATGTAGTATCAAAGAGGTTGTTGGTGGTGTATGTACAGTATGGTGGACCTGCTCACCCTGGCCACCTCTGTGTCTGGGCTGTCGTCGGGGTCCAGGTGGTTGCCGGGGACAGCATGGCCGTAAATGCCAGCTGGGGGGTCACTGGGCAGCCTGGTCATACAGTCGCCCTGCTCCATCGACATGGCAACGCCTGGACGGCTGGACAGAACCACCGAGTCAAACACTCCTGCAGATGGGGGAGGTGAGGAAGATTCAAGAGTGCTTAAGCTAGTTTTCATTGACACCATTATTCAGCAAAGCTGAAACCTTGAGCAGTATAGTGTATTCACATAGCTAGAGAATACTGTAAGCAGTGATGACTTCCAAAATATGGCATGCTCTCGCCTCTGCAAGTCTTAGCATCTGTTTATGTGCCAATGCTAAGTGTATTGCCAACTACAAGAGTTATTCCAAACAATTCTTTAAACTTGGCCCTGATACTGTGTGGCCCCAGGTATGGCCTTGTGTACTGTGAGACTTGGCACAGCCCTGAGCCAGAACACCATGACCTCAGAACACAATATTGGACATCTGAACAAGGGCACAGAGTCGTAAATAAGAGGAGACGGATAAGGCCTGACCTCTGCCAACCACACCTTCAGGCATGTCAGTGGGTGGTGAGTTCCTGTTGCTGTAGCTCTGGGACCCTGAGGAACAGAGAATGGAGAAACACATACACTGAACAAAAATATAAACGCAACATGCAACAATTTCTAATGTTTCACTGAGTTACAGTTCATATAAGGAAATGAGTTAATTGAGATAAATTCATTAGCCCCTAATTTATGGATTTCACATGACTGGGAATACAGATATGCATCTGTTGGTCACAGATAACTTTTTAAAAACCAGTCAGTATCTGGTGTGACCACCATTTGCCTCATGCAGTGCGACACATCTCCTTCGCATAGAGTTGATTAGGCTGTTGATTGTGGCCTGTGGAAAGTTGTCCCACTCCTCTTCACTGGCTGTACGAAGTTGATATTGGCGGGAACTGGAACACGCTGTCAAACTGGAACACGTCAATCCAGAGCATCCCAAACATGCTCAACGGGTGACATGTCTGGTGAGTATGCAGGCCATGGAAGAACTGGGACATTTTCAGCTTCCAGGAATTGTGTACAGATCCTTACGACATGGGGCCGTGCATTATCATGCTGAAACATGAGGTGATGGCGGCAGATGAATGGCACGACAATGGGCCTGAGGATCTCAATGGCATTCAAATTGTCATCGATAAAATGCAATTGTCTTCATTGTACGTAGCTTATGCCTGCCCATACCATAGCCCCTCCACCACCATTGGGCACTCTGTTCAAAACGTTGACATCAGCAAACCGCTCGCCCACACGACGCCATACATGCTGTCTGCTATCTGCCCAGTACAGATTAAACTGGGATTCATCCCTGAAGAACACTTCTACAGCGTGCCAGTGGCCATCGAAGGTGAGCATTTTCCCATTGAAGTAGGATACGACGCCGAACTGCAGTCAGGTCAAGACCCTGGTGGGGACAACGAGCACGCAGATGAGCATCCCTGAGACGGTTTCTGACAGTTTGTGCAAAAATTATTCAGTTGTACAAACCCACAGTGTCCGGGTGGCTGGTCTCAGATGATCCCGCAGGTGAAGAAGCCGGATGTGGAGGTCCTGGGCTGGCGTGGTTACATGTGGTCTGCGGTTGTGAGGCCGGTTGGACGTACTGCCAAATTCTCTAAAACGATGTTGGAGGTGGCTTATGGTAGAGAAATGAACATTCTGAAGGACATTCCTGCAGCCAGCATGCCAATTGCATGCTCCCTCTAAACTTGACACATCTGTGGCATTGTGTTGTGTGACAAAACTGCACATTTTAGAGTGGCCTTTTATTGTCCCCAGTACAAGGTGCACCTGTGTAATGATCATGCTGTTTAATCAGCTTCTTGATATGCCACACCTGTCAGGTGGATGGATTATCTTGGCAAAGGAGAAATGCTCACTAACAGGGATGTAAACTAATTTATGCACAACATTTTAGAGAAATAAGCTTTTTGTGCGTATGGAAACTTTCTGGGATATTTTATTTCAGCTCATGAAACATGGGAGCAACACTTTACATGTTGTGTTTATATTTTTGTTCAGTGTAGTATTGGACAAACAACAAATTGCAAACATAATGAAAATACATTGTTTTTAGACAACGATATGCCTCAATGGAGCAGACCTCCTCCAGTGACTGACCTTTGGCAGGCCTCAGGGCTCTGATTGGCTCGCGGCAGGCTTGTCTACTTGGGGGTGGAGAGTATTCTGTAGTCCGGTCCTCTTCCTCAGGTTCCATTGGTCCGTTCGAGTAGGTGACTCTTTGACCAACCACACTCACTTCAGGTGTGATTTTATCTCTGAGTGGAAAGCCTGGTGGAGAAAACACACAAACACCATTTGAGCTAAATAGAAACAATGACTCAGCCAGTAATAAGAGAGATCCTTTTACATGTTAAATCCTCACTGTACCTTGAAGGGCACTGAAGTCCATGGAGACGGAAGACCTCAGCTTAGCAGAAGGCACTCTAGCAATGTGAGGCTTTGTTGAGGAGGAGGCAGAATTCCCAGGGCTTTTGAAAGAGGTCAGAGGTGAGTCATCAAGAGGGAAATCAGATCCATCATACCTTGGTGTGTGTGTCTTGAAAGTGTGACCATCATAGCATGACCCATTTGCCCCCAATAATTCTTGAAACAGGATCTAATTTGGTTCAACTTAGTTCAAGAGTCTACTGGTTGTCTACTTAGGTCTTAGAATCTAGTACCTGGTTTTGGTGCCATTGAGGGTGGCGTTTGGGGGTGAGTAGAGGCTGGAGAGGCCGCTCTCGCTGGCTGGGCTGGTGACGGTGGGGGAGTTGTGAGAGGGGGAGTCCAGAGCCAGTTCCAGTTTCATGGCTGAGTCTGGGCTATCTGGGTCTGAGCCTGAGCCACTCAGACTCACCTTGGCCTTCTTCTTAGCTGCGCTGCAGCGCAGGGAGCGCAGGGAGTTCAGCATCTATAAACATCAACACATTAGCTCATCAGCAACCTGAGAGCAAGGCAAGAGGGTTCTGTGCATACAGATAATATTTTATGCATGGGTGTTATATCCATGACAATTTAGATGTCAAGTACTACTCACCCAGCACTAACATTACATCACAGATACTTAGTCCCAAATATGACCCATTTCACCACCACTGCACTAATGAAGGGGAAACATGATCCACATTCCATATTCATGCACTGAGTTATCCTGAGTACAGATATGAATAAATCCCTGATGGCCAGATGGCAAGATGGTAGCTTTAAGACAGTGTCCTAGCTAAATACATCTGGAGACTTCACTAAGCATAGCCTTGTGTGTAAAACATTGATCCTGACCTCCTGCCGGTCCAGGGGGTCCTCTTCCTGGTCTTGGTCCTGCAGGCTGAGGTGATCCAGATCTAGGTGAAGGTTCCTCTCAGACAGGTGGTCCTGCAGGCTGGATGGAGATGGAGCTAGAGGACTAGACCGCTGGCCATTCTGAGACTGGCCCCGCTCTGGCAGGGGAAGCCCTGGGGATGGGGAGACAGGCAGCACGTTCCGCATCCCGCTCAGAGCCTGACGGAAAGACGAGGTAGATGAGGAGCTCACCAGAGAGGCACGGAGAGGCTGTGGAGAACACCTGCTGGATGAGAATTCACCTGTGGGGACAAAGAAAGCACTCAACAACATGCCTCAACTAAATTACATGACTATCAAGATCTACCCAATATGCAGTAGATACCAGACCCATACTTGATATGTCTTTCCAGGGGCTGGGGTCTCGTCTTTGGGGGCTGCTCTCTCTCTTGTTGGGCCAAGTGTTGGACATTGACAGTGAGGAGTCAGCGCGGCGGCGGGACAGTGTTGGGGTCAGCCGGCCCCCAGGGAGTGTAGCTAGAGGGTAGGAGGGCAGTAGGAAGGTGCCCTGGGCCGAGGGGTTGGAGAAGGTGCGCTCAAAGCTGGAGGTCCCAGAGAGGAGATGGGCCTTGTGTACCACTGCAACACAAAGATCCTTCAGTTACCTTTCAATGACCCTTTCAATGAAACTGTTCTGTAGAAGGCACATAGGCTGAGCAGAGTAAAGACTTCCTCACCTCCCTCTGCATCAGAGAAGTTGGTAGATTTAAAGATGTCAGGGTCCAAGTCAAGGCTCCCACTTCTTCTTAAGCGTCTCGGGGATTCCCTCCTAGAGGACAGGGGTTTATGGGGCTCTGCAGAACCTAGAGGACAACGAATCAGCTATTACTGTAGCGTACCACATAACCATAATATATTGTCTATCAATACAATATGATGACTGGTTGCTGGGGGCTTCAGCAACTCATGTTTAGTTTCAAAGTGATATGGTCAATGGAGTCCTCTTCATTGAGGCCAAGCTAAAGCTGAGGTCAGGCTGGCTTGTGAGCCCAGTGCCTGGCAGGGGAATGTCATCTGATCCTAGTTTGTTTCACTTGATAAATTATTCTGTCTAGGTTTAATACCTTTGGCTAAGCCAAAGCTTAGTTAAAACATCCATTGACAAACCCATTCGTTCAGTAACGTTGGAAAACAGATTTTATGAGAGAGCAGCGGAGGGGGACATTTGTTCGGACACTATTTGTTCATACTGTGCAGTAAAAGTTGCTGCCGTGTTCTGTAGCCTGCTGTAAAAAGAGCCAAGTCCAGTCTTGCCTGCGAGCACAGGCTGATCTTGTAAACAGTGGCTACACACTCCCCACCCCGAAACACTTATAACTCACACACACAAGTTTTACTTTTGTATTCCACTGCATGCTTTACTAGCAAAAAACATACAGCAGGAATATTGCATTATCATTTTACATTATTTGTAGGCTACTTTAGCAAAGTCTTGTACAATATTTTGGACTCATTTCAAATTCCCAAGACACCTGATTCAATAGTCTTCACTTAGAGTACTACATTCAGCATTGTGTTAGATTACATAGGTATACCGTAGGGATGGGCAATATATCGAATTAATTTTATTAATGATAATTTACGTTTTTAGAGCGATGCCTGTATATTTTTCGTATGTCTGAGCGTTTATGCCCGCTTGTTCTCATGTTGTCTTTTTGGTCTCGTCTCCTTCGCTCTTTCTGTGCTGTGTGCACCTTCCCATTTACTCACACACACCAACCCCCTCCCCCTGCCACTCACAACTAAATGAGAGATCACTTCTTCCTCTCTGACAAGCGGTTTCAAATCACTAATTGCATTTGAGGTTTGGTCCAACAGAATCGGTAATTTGGACACCGAAAGACATTGAGACATTATTTTACTGTAATAGAGGAGTAGTTAACCTTTCTAACGATACCCTTTTTATGTATCAACTCCTCAAAGTGTGCACAGAGCAGACACTACTAAAACAGGAGTATCAGTGAACATTGATTCTGGAAAATGAATGCTCAATTTTTCCCACATGGGAAACTGTTGACAATGAAAAACCCAGCAGCGTTGCAGTTCTTGACAAATGAGTGTGCCTGGCACCTACTACCATACCCCGTTCAAAGGCACTTAAATCTTTTGTTTTGCCGATTTACCCTCCATGGCACACACACACAATCCATGTCTCAATTGTCTCAAGGCTTAAAAAAAAAAAAAATGTACCTGTCTCTTCCCCTTCATCTACACTGATTGAAGTGGATTTAACAAGTGACATCAATAAGGGATCATAGCTTTCACCTGGTCAGTCTATGTCATAGAAAGAGTTCATAATGTTTTGTACACTCAGTGTATAAGGAATTGGCAACTTGTTCTCATTCTGAGAAATAAGGTAGGCCACTTGATTTCAACATCTAAACAAAGTGGACAGGCTAACATGCTGTTCAAACAGTTGGAGACAGACAGAAGGGTGTGTTCATAACAATTCAACTGTTCTACCTTGTTAGCTAGCGAATAGATCCAAGTTGGCTAAACTTGAAATATAAAGATTAGCTGGCTACTCCCTAGCACGGGGGCTTGTGCTTGAGAGATTGTTTATGAAACCTGTGTTAAGTGTTAATTTTCTATAATGCCTGCTACAAGAAGTTAGTCATTATCAGTGAATGTGCATTATGCATGGTTCTGGTTATTTTTTTTTACAAAAAGGCCATTTTCATAGACATCCTTGAAAGACAGAGATCTGTGATTATTGGAAAAAAGCAGGTTACACTATTTTGATAAAATAATGTAATTATTAGTGGGTCTTATGGTTGTGGAAGGCTTATATTTGGCCTAGGTATAATTTCACAAACCCTGAATTTATTAGATTATTGCTGACTGTTTGAAATGCAGTGTATTTGACCTTTGAAATGTTTACAACAAAGCTTATTTAGAGAAAACATTCAAGAAATCGAGATATATATCGTGATTTGCCAATAAGTAAAAAATAAATAGAAGGATTACTTTTATCCTATCCCAGGTATTCCTTAAAGAGGTGGGGTTTCAAGTGTCTCCGGAAGGTGGTGAGTGACTCCGCTGTCCTGGCGTCGTGAGGGAGCTTGTTCCACCATTGGGGTGCCAGAGCAGCGAACAGTTTTGACTGGGCTGAGCGGGAACTGTGCTTCCGCAGAGGTAGGGGGGCCAGCAGGCCAGAGGTGGATGAACGCAATGACCTCGTTTGGGTGTAGGGACTGATCAGAGCCTGAAGGTACGAAGGTGCCGTTCCCCTCACAGCTCCGTAGGCAAGCACCATGGTCTTGTAGCAGATGCGGGCTTCAACTGGAAGCCAGTGGAGTGTGACGTGAGGAGCGGGGTGACATGAGAGAACTTGGGAAGGTTGAACACCAGACGGGCTGCAGCGTTCTGGATGAGTTGTAGGGGTTTAATGGCACAGGCAGGGAGCCCAGCCAACAGCGAGTTGCAGTAATCCAGACGGGAGATGACAAGTGCCTGGATTAGGACCTGTGCCGCTTCCTGTGTAAGGTAGGGTCGTACTCTGCGAATGTTGTAGAGCATGAACCTACAGGATCGGGTCACCGCTTTGATGTTAGCGGAGAACGACAGGGTGTTGTCCAGGGTCACGCCAAGGTTCTTTGCACTCTGGGAGGAGGACACAACGGAGTTGTCAACCGTGATGGCGAGATCATGGAGCTGCTTCACTGTTTCATTGTAAGGCATCTTGATGAGAGGTCAAGTTGCACACAAAGACCCTGGCAATTTAATACCTAAGTACTATCGCTAGCATCCCCGCTTGAGATGATACCATGTTTATGACACAGTATCCACTGTATAATCTCTATTAGTTTGCCCACCTAGTCTGGTCCTTTCCTTCCTTTGAGATCTTTTCTCCTGACCACTCTGCCTCTGGCTGTCTGACTGGGGCTTTTCAGAGTGAGTCAAACGTGGGCTAGTTGACGGCAATGGGAAGGAAGCCTCTTACAGGGTGGTAGCCGTGATCAAAAACCAACTGTGACTGCAAAGTGGAGGAACTGATAAATTATTGTAGCTAACTATTGCTTTCATCAACTTTAGCAATTACTGGCCTTCCTACCTCACAATCAATACCTCATATATTCTCCTCTGTCTACAGAGAACAGAAAATGAATGTACAGTGGGGAGAACAAGTATTTGATACACTGCCGATTTTGCAGGTTTTCCTACTTACAAAGCATGTAGAGGTCTGTAATTTTTATCATAGTTACACTTCAACTGTGAGAGACGGAATCTAAAACAAAAATCCAGAAAATCACATTGTATGATTTTTAAGTAATTAATTTGCATTTTATTGCATGACATAAGTATTTGATACATCAGAAAAGCAGAACTTAATATTTGGTACAGAAACCTTTGTTTGCAATTACAGAGATCATACGTTTCATGTAGTTCTTGACCAGGTTTGCACACACTACAGCAGGGATTTTGGCCCACTCCTCCATACAGACCTTCTCCAGATCCTTCAGGTTACGGGGCTGTCGCTGGGCAATACGGACTTTCAGCTCCCTCCAAAGATTTTCTATTGGGTTCAGGTCTGGAGACTGACTAGGCCATTCCAGGACCTTGAGATGCTTCTTACGGAGCCACTCCTTAGTTGCCCTGACTGTGTGTTTCGGGTCATTGTCTTGCTGGAAGACCCAGCCACGACCCATCTTCAATGCTCTTACTGAGGGAAGGAGGTTGTTGGCCAAGATCTCGCGATACATGGCCCCATCCATCCTCCCCTCAATACGGTGCAGTCGTCCTGTCCCCTTTGCAGAAAAGCATCCCCAAAGAATGATGTTTCCACCTCCATGCTTCACGGTTGGGATGGTGTTCTTGGGGTTCTACTCATCCTTCTTCTTCCTCCAAACACGGCGAGTGGAGTTTAGACCAAAAAGCTCTATTTTTGTCTCATCAGACCACATGACCTTCTCCCATTCCTCCTCTGGATCATCCAGATGGTCATTGGCAAACTTCAGACGGGCCTGGACATGCGCTGGCTTGAGCAGGGGGACCTTGCGTGCGCTGCAGGATTTTAATCCATGACGGCGTAGTGTGTTACTAATGGTTTTCTTTGAGACTGTGGTCCCAGCTCTCTTCAGGTCATTGACCAGGTCCTGCCGTGTAGTTCTGGGCTGATCCCTCACCTTCCTCATGATCATTGATGCCCCACGAGGTGAGATCTTGCATGGAGCCCCAGACCGAGGGTGATTGACCGTCATCTTGAACTTCTTCCATTTTCTAATAATTGCGCCAACAGTTGTTGCCTTCTATGGTATTATTTTATGTATCATTAAGGCAAATGTAGGGAGAGGTCAAAGGTAAAATAATAATATTAGTAATAAGCATGAATATGTTTAAATGAATATATGTGCTCTGTCGCAGGGGCTCTCAAACTGTGGCCCATGGGCTTGTTATGGACACATGGTATGCATTACATTAGTTCTTTTTTAAGAAGGGGCCTAAGCCACGCAGCCAATAGAATGATAGAATGAGAGGCTTCATATAGAAAAAAGCATTCATGACCTTTTGGAGTGGACATTGTGTGACAGCTGGACGTTGAAAAAGAAGGTGCAGAACTAAAATAAGTTAGGAATGTACGCATGTTTGTTCATTTGTGTGTAAGTATAAAAGGGATGTCTAAGCCAGAGAGAGACAGTTGTTCCATAGAGCAAGCTCGGCTTTGTTATGCAATAAAGTCTTATTCTTGGATTCACAAGCTCTGGTGTCTTGAGAGATATTTTTGAGTTGATTCATTATTAGTCAAATATTTCTACGACACTTCTCACCAAGCTGCTTGCCTATTGTCCTGTAGCCCATCCCAGCCTTGTGCAGGTCTACAATTTAATCCCTGATGTCCTTACACAGCTCTCTGGTATTGGCCATTGTGGAGAGGTTGGAGTCTGTTTGATTGAGTGTGTGGACAGGTGTCTTTTATACAGGTAACGAGTTCAAACAGGTGCAGTTAATACAGGTAATGAGTGGAGAACAGGAGGGCTTCTTAAAGAAAAACGAACAGGTCTGTGAGAGCCGGAATTCTTACTGGTTGGTAGGTGATCAAATACTTATGTCATGCAATAAAATGCAAATGAATTATTTAAAAATCATACAATGTGATTTTCTGAATTTTTGTTTTAGATTCCGTCTCTCACAGTTGAAGTGTACCTATGATAAAAATTACAGACCTCTACATGCTTTGTAAGTAGGAAAACCTGCAAAATCGGCATTGCAAAAATCTCTGAAGCTGGAGACTCTTATCTCCCTCAATAACTTTAAGCATCAGTTGTCAGAGCACCTTACCGATCACTGCACCTGTACACAGCCCATCTGAAATTAGCCCACCCAACTACCTCATCCCTATATTGTTATTTATTTTGCTCTTTTGCACCCCAGTATCTCTATTTGCACATAATCTCTTGCACATCTAGCATTCCAGTGTTAATACTATTGTAATTATTCTGCACTATAGCCTATTTATTGCCTTACCTCCATAACTTGCTACATTTGCACACACTATATATATATTTTCTGTTGTATTTCTGACTTTATGTTTTTTTTTTACCCCATATGTAACTCTGTGTTGTTTTTATTGCACTACTTTGCTTTATCTTGGCCAGGTCGCAGTTGTAAATGAGAACCTGTTCTCAACTGGCTTACCTGGTTAAATAAAGGTGAAATAAAATAAATAAATAAAAGTATCAAATACTTGTTCTCCCCACTGTATTTGATCACACTGTTTTCATAGTGAGAACCAGATCAAGGTTTAGTACTAACTGAATGCATTCTCAACAACTCATTCTCAATGCCAGCCTCCATGTCTCATATTAAGTGTCTATTTATTGAACGCCTACGAATGGCATTGGCGCTAAACAGCAGGAACATGAAGAGGAGTGACTGACTCCCACTGACACATCAACCATGTTTAGAGAAAGAACCACCCCCTCACTTCAAGGACACCTCCATATATTGTCACCATACATTACACAACGCTCTACCTACCTATGCATTCTTGTAGAGACATTTTTATACCGGTTCAAGATGGAGAGCACAACAGGGGTTAGGATTTCAAGGGTGAATTATTTTGAAGCATGTTAATGTCCATATTGGGCTTGATTGGTACTTGTCTTGTGTACACAATCTCTTGCCAACAATAGCAGCAAAATGTAGGCAATTACACCATGGCATTGTTAAATACTCGTTTCTGATTGGCTTAAACGGCATTCTAGAGTGTCCATTATTTCCCTATAATGCACGGCAATAACCAACGGCTATGAATTTGTTTAATCCTCGTTGCGCGAGACCTGCATGGCACTCTTCTGTCTACTCAGTCATGCCGGTGCTCTGAGTGACGTGCAATGGTATGGATCCATTGACTCTGTGTGATAATCCTATTCAAAGCTGGTTTAGCCTGGCTAACTTCGGCACTGACAACAACTGAACTGCACCTTGTCAGCTTGTGCGGTAGCTCTTGATGCATGCAAGCGACAGAAGTGGGCACCTACCGAAACTGGGGACATATGTCTCCGGACTCAGCTTCCGGGAATGGGACAGGCAGTCTTCACTGATGACCTGAGGAGATAAAATCAGGGGGTAACAATGGTGACAATTATCCATCACTGAAAGCCACAATACTGGGTCAAGTTCACATGTCAAACATAAACGGTTATTTGAAAACATAGAGAGCCTACCATGGATCAAATGTAATTTCATCCATTGGTCTCAACAAAGGAATGTTGCAGCGATTTAGCTCAGACAAACTGTGCGCTCTGGGATTCTGTCAGTGTATAGACGCAAACTTCAAATTGACGTCTGTCTACTTCAATGACATGTACTACGCTTATTAAACTTTTAAAGGTGTAGCCATGGCACATTTGTTAGCCTCAGTAAAATAGATCGCTGAGGTAAGAAGAGTGATGAGCAGTTCTCACCTCAAACACCAAAGCTTCCCTCAGACAGCGTGTTGAGATCCATCTCACGGCTATCTGATTAAAAGCAACTCACATTGCCATCAGATGAACCCACTGGGATCTTAATCAACACTAGGGAGGTAAGTGGTTGATGTTCCACAGTCGCTACGGGTCCTATGATATCTTCACATGCATTGCGAATTAAGTTTAAAGCCCCCTCTGAATACAAGTGTGTTGTGTGGCAAAGATATTGCTGGGAGACTGGGACTTCTGTAAACATAAGGTTTCACTGGAAGGCTCCAAAATTACTTTGGTGCACAGAGCAAACAAAACGCCTCTTTGAACAAGTAGGCCTAGTTTTCAACTATTGTGATCAATGAAGGTCATTCTTGCAAATTGCAATGCTTTGCCTTTGAAAGTACCTGAATGCTCACTGAAACTTTTTGCACAGTGTATTCTTTCCCAGACATTTTGGTGGCATACTGCTACAAGGGAAAGGGATCATCTGTGAGAGGGGTTTCACATTCAAAACCATAGGAATTAATAGGTTTAAAAACATAATTCAATCAAGTTGTTTTTTAACTTCACCTTCACATTTCATTACAACAACATCAAGATTGCTGAGACAGACATCAGTGATTGTTTCTGCAATCCACACGACATAGTCCCGTGAATGAAGAGATTAACAAAATATGCCAGCCAGCCCCTCCCATCTAGTCTACAGTCAGCGTCTTGGGAGGGGGGAGGGGGGAGGGGGGGGTGAAACCAGATCTTTAGTCTGTTATCCACACCAGTCTCTGTGACAGGGTGCCACTGCTGGGATATCTCCCCCGCAGATCTTCATCTGAGAGCAATGCCTATCCTTTTGTTGCATCTTTGCGACTACAGTTCAGTAGTCTAAGTAGGCTACTCTCTGTTATGCCAAACAGGGAAGATGGCGAGTGTTTCCCCACTACGAACCTATGCCACTGTCTGACACTGACAGCTGGGTGTTTCAGTATCTGAGAGAATGAAACGAGCAGATTAGCAAATTGACTTCCCTGATGAGATGATCTTGGAGTAAACCCATTGTAGCCAGGGGTTCCCCCCAGCAACACAGAGAAAGCTCTTTGGATTATCACTCATTGAGAAGCAGGTGCCCTGTAATATTAGGTACTTGTCTCCTCCAAGCACTCAAATCTGTAGTCTCACCTTTTCTGTCTAATGTGGATCATGCAATAGATATGTATCCAAACCCTCTATTGACGTACAGTAGGCCTAAGTTACATTATTATCCTACGTATTCTTCAGATATACTACATATTCTATCCATGTCTATACATCCCATCACTCACACACATATATTTGTACTACGGACTCCGACACCGCTCGTCTTAATATTTCTATATTTCTTAATTCCATTCAACTTTTTTAGATTTGTGTGTATTGTTAGATATTACTGCACTGTTGGAGCTAGCAACACAAGCATTTCACTACACCAGCAATCAATGTTCCCTCTAAGCTGCGCTGGTGTGCAGCTCCCCTCGGACTGCCGTGCAGAAGAAATATCACCCCGCGCAGAGAAGCACGAGGTTGAACTTCACTCAACTTTCCAGAGTTTTACCCTTTAGTTAACACTATCAACGTTTCGCTCTACTGCGGGAATTGTGCTCGAATCAACGCAATATTAGAAACTTTCAATATAACATACCGAAACAAAACAAACTATGCAAGACTTTGTATGCAAAACTGTGCAAGAGATTTTCTTGTAGGCAGAGCCCATTGGAGTAGGATTCTATTGCATTGACATCCAAGACTCAGGCTCCTACTCTACACAGACCTGTGCGCCATAACCAATCAGAGCTGCAGTAGGCCCATATGCAAACAGCCATTGCCATCTATGGATCTGTGCCATTCACTTTGAACTGGACTGTGTTCATAGCATGAGCAGTCGCGAGTAGATGCACTTGTTTTGATATCATAGCGAGAGCTGTGCACATTTGTTCATATTCTCTGCTAGTTAATGAGTTATTCGTCCAGTTATCGCTAATTTCTAGTCAACAATGGGGGAGTGGTTGCTTCCTACAAGAGCATAAAATGTGTGCATTCTAGCCATCTTTGAAAAGCGAGTCAGGTAAATAGCTTTTTTTTATGTCTTAAAGGGGCAGTGTTCTATTTTGAGACGGTTTTGAATAAACTAAGTAGCCAATAGGCAGAGGGTAGCATAATTTGTCTGTTTCTCTCTAATAATGGTATGGGAATAATAATGAATTTTATTTTGTAAAGTGGTTTCTTACATCAAAGAACATTTTCAGTCCCCTCTTGTCTGAAGGACAAGTGGATAAACAGGTTAATGTCAAACCCTGCATGTTTTTTCCCAAACGTCTCATGGAATGTAGGCCTACATTGAACACCATATATTTGCTGCTACTGAAAGAACAGCTATTTCCATTATGATTATGATCAAATAGCCACAGCAGCCTACTTGGCCACTGTTAAAACTGTAACTTAAAGCGGGTACAGCCTCAGCGTTCACAGTAAACACGCACCGGAAGTTGAACAGAATTTTCTATGTTCAAGTTTGCGCTCAGCAGACCTGAAATTAGCTCTGTGCCAAAAACAAATTGAGGGAACATTGCTCGCAATAACATTTGCTAAATATGTGTATGCGATCAATAAAATGTGATTTGATTTTCCCTGATTGACCACAACTTGAAATGCCTGAGAATACATCTCTGAGATGACAAACACATGAATAGCCTTATGTCCAATGTCACATCAGGCATCAAACAAATAGTTTGATTGCCTTCAGAATATGGTAGAGCCCCCCCCTTTCCTTATCTCAAATTCAGATTAACCTGATTGATAACCACTGACATCCTAGTTGTCATCTCTCTCCTACTAATAGGCCACAAGGCAACTTGCTGCTCACCAAATTGTTGTCATGGCAACAAAACACTAGCAGCCCTTGCAGGCATGTGACAGTCCTTTTCAGGCCCTCTGCAATCAGTGCACTCTGACTTTGATTGTGGAGACAAAGAAATCAACTAAAACACAGCCCCTGAGGTGGATGGTGAAGTCAATAGGAAAGATGCTACTCCAGGAACACAGTCAATCAGTGACTGATTGAAAGGCAACTCATTGCATTGGATCTATTTTTAGAAGCCCTTTACGCCATGAAAAATGTGAACTTTGATTGCTGAGTCAATAATTGCCAATCAATGTCAACTAAAGGAAAACATTTGCATAATCTCTGAATACATAACTACACTGAACAAAAATATAAACACAACATGTAAAGTGCTGGTCTCATGTTTCAAGAGCTGAAAAAAAAAATCCCAGAAATAATTGCATATGCACAAAGATATTTATGTATGGCGTCATGTGGGCGGGCAGTTTACTGATGTCAACATCATCAACAGAGTGCCCCATGCTGGTGGTGGGGTTATGGTATGGGCAGACAAGCTACGGACAATGAACACAACTGCATTTTATCGATGGCAATTTAAATGCACAGAAATACTGTGCCGAGATCCTGAGGCCCATTGTGAGGCCCATTTTATTTTTAAGGTATCTGTGACCAACAGATGCATATCTGTATTTCCAGTCATGTGAAATCCATACAGTGGGGGAAAAAAGTATTTAGTCAGCCACCAATTGTGCAAGTTCTCCCACTTAAAAAGATGAGAGAGGCCTGTAATTTTCATCATAGGTACACGTCAACTATGACAGACAAAATGAGAAAAAAAATCCAGAAAATCACATTGTAGGATTTTTAATGAATTTATTTGCAAATTATGGTGGAAAATAAGTATTTGGTCAATAACAAAAGTTTCTCAATACTTTGTTATATACCCTTTGTTGGCAATGACACAGGTCAAACATTTTCTGTAAGTCTTCACAAGGTTTTCACACACTGTTGCTGGTATTTTGGCCCATTCCTCCATGCAGATCTCCTCTAGAGCAGTGATGTTTTGGGGCTGTCGCTGGGCAACACGGACTTTCAACTCCCTCCAAAGATTTTCTATGGGGTTGAGATCTGGAGACTGGCTAGGCCACTCCAGGACCTTGAAATGCTTCTTACGAAGCCACTCCTTCGTTGCCCGGGCAGTGTGTTTGGGATCATTGTCATGCTGAAAGACCCAGCCACGTTTCATCTTCAATGCCCTTGCTGATGGAAGGAGGTTTTCACTCAAAATCTCACGATACATGGCCCCATTCATTCTTTCCTTTACACGGATCAGTCGTCCTGGTCCCTTTGCCCTTTGCAGAAAAACAGCACTAAAGCATGATGTTTCCACCCCCATTCTTCACAGTAGGTATGGTGTTCTTTGGATGCAACTCAGCATTCTTTGTCCTCCAAACACGACGAGTTCAGTTTTTACCAAAAAGTTATATTTTGGTTTCATCTGACCATATGACATTCTCCCAATCCTCTTCTGGATCATCCAAATGCACTCTAGCAAACTTCAGACGGGCCTGGACATGTACTGGCTTAAGCAGGGGGACACGTCTGGCACTGCAGGATTTGAGTCCCTGGCGGCGTAGTGTGTTACTGATGGTAGGCTTTGTTACTTTGGTCCCGTGTGGTTCTGGTATTTTTGCTCACCGTTCTTGTGATCATTTTGACCCCACGGGGTGAGATCTTGCATGGAGCCCCAGATCGAGGGAGATTATCAGTGGTCTTGTATGTCTTCCATTTCCTAATAATTGCTCCCACAGTTGATTTCTTCAAACCAAGCTGCTTACCTATTGCAGATTCAGTCTTCCCAGCCTGGTGCAGGTCTACAATTTTGTTTCTGGTGTCCTTTGACAGCTCTTTGGTCTTGGCCATAGTGGAGTTTGGAGTGTGACTGTTTGAGGTTGTGGACAGGTGTCTTTTATACTGATAACAAGTTCAAACAGGTGCCATTAATACAGGTAACGAGTGGAGGACAGAGGAGCCTCTTAAAGAAGAAGTTACAGGTCTGTGAGAGCCAGAAATCTTGCTTGTTTGTAGGTGACCAAATACTTATTTTCCACCATAATTTGCTAATAAATTCATAAAAAATCCTACAATGTGATTTTCTGGAAAAAAAATTCTCATTTTGTCTGTCATAGTTGACGTGTACCTATGATGAAAATTACAGGCCTCTCTCATCTTTTTAAGTGGGAGAACTTGCACAATTGGTGGCTGACTAAATACTTTTTCCCCCCACTGTAGTCCTAACACAAGCTTTCGTCAGTATCTAGTATACTGCGTGTTATTGTTTCAGTGTAGACATGCTTGGGGTCGTGTTCATTAGGTTCTTGCAAACTAATATTTGCTAGATTTTGACTTTGGGTGGTTGCAAACATTCTATTTGCACCTTATTCCATGGAATTATGGTGCTTCTATGGAAATAAGATTCTTATACCTATATAGCCAAGAGAGGATGTCTTGATATTTCTTTCTCTAATGACACTTTGCTAAATCAAAATAGCTAAATGATAGACCAGTGTCGTCAGCAGACTTTTGCTTGATGTAACCTTGCCATCATCGATGACCAACCTGATCAGAGGATTTCCCCTTAGGGGCACTGCATGGCTGGGTGTTCACTGTGGAAGGGAGGCTTGACCTCTCCCAGGGCAGCTTGTTCTTCCCTTTGCCTGCACTGACAATTCTCCTCTGCAGTGGAAGGTCATCAACGAGGGAGCCCAAGCTTCCATAACCATGATACAGCCTGTCAGAGTCTGGTTCTGTCCTGATGCTCCTGGCACTGCTGATCCGCCCACCATTTAGCACCCACTCCAGGTCAGCTCCTGACCCAAACTGTGGTGAGCGTCGCTGTCCTGGTTTAGGGATTACAAGGGCGTACTCCACCATCCCATCTGAGGACAGTCTGGGAAGTATGTGCCTGGCTCTTCTTGCTTGCACAGCTGTCATAAGACCCTCCACATCCCCATTGAGCTCAACTCTGTCTACAGCTTTCATTAGGGGCTGCTTTTTCCCTGTGTCAAGGCAATGGTCAAAAACTGCAAATAGTTCTAGAGCTGCATGGCGGACCTTCTTCTTGCTGTCTGCCAGGTATGGTGCAACTTCAAAGCAGAGGCTGGGGATGTTGAAGTCCTTCCTGGGGTGGGTGAGCATAGTTGCTGTGATGATGTTGATGACATCCTCTCTGACCCGGGAGTTCTTGTGTCTCAGATGTCCAATGACAAGGTCCAACACTTTCTGTGGCCCTACAATTCTAGTCAACTGCCTGAACACATTCATATACTCATTCCTGGTGACAGCGCGGGTGTCCCCAAGGGTTTTCAGAGCCACACACGCTAATTGTTTGAAATATTTGTCTACATTATAATCCAATTTCTGGATGAGTAGGTTTATCACCTGTAAAGTGCCGTACAAGACTTTGAAGTTGCTGTCATCTAGAAGTCTGCGGAGAAAATGTATAAACTCCACAATACTGTCTGAGGGGACTGGCTTCAAGTCCAATCCAAAGAGGATGTTTTTCAGCTGTTCCACACCATTTGTTCGATTTTGGTAGTTTTTGAGGTCTAGGAGCTGTTCGTGTAACTCCTGCGGTATCAATCCAAAAATCATCATTGATGGTCCTTTGGATGTGGTCAAAGGGGAAAATCTAATGAAGCATTCACATTTATGTGAGGACAGCAATATTGCCCTTTACTTTGACTCGTCATCTTGGTGGTTAGATTTATCATCTCCGACACTGTATTTCACTGTGGCAATACTGTGGTTGTCGTCCAGTACAATTGCACTCAGATATGTCTTTATATGGTAATGGTCAGTTCAACAATCAGTTTTACACCTGTAGGCAGCTGGTATTGTGAAAGACATTTCAAAGCATAGTCAATGCATTACATTAAAATACTTGACATTTGCAGCTTCTTATGAATAACTGTTATTTGTGTTGGTCTACGAGACAACTGGAACGTGAACAGTGAAAGCAACGTTGAGTGAAAATAAAACCACTTGTAGCTTGCTGTGCTTTCCCTACACAGCCATGACGAAAAAAGTCACCGTGGAATGTTATATTTGAAAGCGCCTGTTGTATTTCAGCTAACTGCATAGGTAACTAGGTAGCCCGCTAGATGTTTCCATAGCCTCTAACGTCATTCAATATTCAGAAATGGCGTGTCAGGGCGAAGTCGCTGCCAGTGCCTCTTCTGATTGATGTTTTCCATAGAATCCAATATCATAGCTAGCTTTTAGCTACGGCTTCAAGGCTTGCGGCTGAGTAGCAACCTGGTGTTGGCTAGCTTGGCTAACTACTTAACGTTAACTGGCGAAGTTAGAAAACAGACACAAATTCGGACCTCGCATTCCGATTAGTCGTTCAAATTTGACGTCCGGGGTACGAAAACGTTTTCCAAATCTCAATGACCTCCTCGGTTAAATATCCGATTAATAATACTCATAGAAATCCCTTCTTAACAGTATGAGATTCTATGTCGAATGTTTGTAGCTAATCTAGCTATCTGCACTGTAGCAGATACATTCATCGCCGTAGCCCACGCCAAGAAGCATCAAAATGGCGAATACAACATGACACAAACGGACCGCTTCCATGGTGACGCGAGTTGTAGATTGAGAATCAGATGGAATAATATATATATATATATATATATATATATATATATATATATATATATATATATATATATATATATATATTCCACCCACACCACATGAACAAATAACCGAGTGAATTAATCACTAAATGTATATAAAGTTGTAAATGTATCTTTCAACAATTTCTATAAAGTACTCCTTGAATTAATAGCTGCCTGAGATTGAGAAAACATTTTTTTACAGTTGTCATTTAAATCATAATTTGTGTTTGTACTATAAATTACTAATCGTGTTATCAGAGCCCTTCTAAGGACTATAACGTTTTCTGGTTGTATTAAATTATTATAAAACAGATTCATAGATTGATATGCTGGGCACTAGAGGAAGAGCGCAACTTCTTGAGAAGCTGATGACGATGTCGCCTCCCTGTATGTGCAAATTCTTGTAATTGTCATAAAATGTGTCAATTATATACATCAAACACGTAATGTCATTGATATGATTTTTTGTATTGATACTTTTTTTTATTCACACGTTGTTGGGTATTGCCTTCTTTCCCTTCTATCTCACCCCTAACTTGTATGTTGTATTATGGTTATGCACAAAAAAAAGACGATAAATGTTAAACGTGTGCAAAATAGCCATTCCCTTTGAAGTAGCCCGCGTGCTCCCGGAAGTTACGCACCATAAAGTGTTTGGCGTTTGTTTTCCTGACTGACGCTGGGGTTCCTGCCGCTACTGCAATAAAAATAGATATTGTCGGCACATCTGACGCGCAACACAGGTTTGTCTCCCTTGCACATTCTTGTAAATGTTTGAACACATCTAATAGCTATCAAACTTCACAATTGATTACCACTCAACTAGCTGGAGATCAATGTATAGCTTGCTTAGTACTGTGTTTATTTTTAGCAGCAAAATTGCACTGGGGTGCTCTGCAGTGCCAATGCATTGCATTGGACATAACATGCCCTTGTAATTGTAATTTCTCACACGAGGCCGCAAACTCCTCGTACATCCGATAGCCTGGTTATTGCAGGCTACGCCATTATTACTATGTTGTAAAATAAATACAATATTCATCAGCGAATCTGAAAAATCTGAACAGTACTTTTGTGGCTTGCAAGGCTGATGATGCTAAGAAAGTGGACCGACGACGCGAAGGCAGTTAGCTAGCTAACTAACGTTACTAGCCATATTAGATGTCTAGATAGCTGGCTAAACTAGTAAGCGAATGTTACTCGTAGTTTGAGAAATGTTGTGTTTGTTTATTACGTTTGTATTCATTACAGGCCGTTGACGAGTTTTGAATGAATTTGAGCACCGAGATTTGGCAAATAGATTCTGATGTTGTGCTAGGTAACTAGCTGGCTACTAGCAATGTTAGCATGTTTGCTCGCTCAGCTGAGTTATAGCTACGGTAGCTAGCTAAGCAATGGTAGACTAGCTTGCTAACAACATTTGACAGTTAGCTGAGCCTTGCGGTTTTGAGGCGTCACTCAAGCCTTGTCTGTGCTGCAAAGATGCTAGATACTAATTGCATAGCTAGCTACATGTTACATGTAACTATTATTTAGTAACCGGGGTTATTAGCTAACTAGATTAGCCTAACTAGCGTGAAATAACACGTATTTTTAAATGTGAGGATTATTATCAGTTTAAACTGAATTTCACCGTAAGAAAAAAAATCGGTTGCATTGTCATCTTTCATCAGGACAGTTTTGCGATGCCATTCGCTATTCATCAGATCTAATTGGCCTACCTGATATTATCAAACTTGGTGATTTTCAGGTTTACACATGTCATCACACATTCTGATAATATCTGGTGTGCAGTGCACTGCCACTGTGTATATTGTATGTTGTACTTGATTTAGTTGACGTATTGGCATGACTTAGGTGGGTCACCTTGCCAGATTATTTCCTTGCAAGTTGCTTCTAAATCTTTCCCTTAGATTTGACCTGGAGAGGAAAATGTGGTCTTGAGTGTCCTTCAACTTGTCCATAGTTCTGTATTTTTGTTTCTTGAAATGGATGCTCTTAAAAGGATGTCCTGCATCTTTACATGGAGATTGTGCTGCAACAATGTCAATTTGAACGGTACTTGTCCCTTATATTTGACAGCATATTAATGATGTGCATTTTTCCCCCTAAGATGGACCAGCAGGCCCAGTCCTATATGCTTGCCAGTCTGACGCGGCCCCACTCTGAGCAGCTGCTGCAAGGCCTCCAGCTGTTGCGGCAGGACCATGAGCTGTGCGACATTGTGCTGCGAGTGGGTGATGCTAAGATCCATGCCCACAAAGTGGTGCTGGCGAGCATCAGCCCCTACTTCAAGGCCATGTTCACGGGAAATCTGTCAGAGAAGGAGACCTCCGAGGTGGAGTTCCAGTGCGTTGACGAGGCTGCGCTACAAGTAAGGGTCAATGAAACTGTCAGCATTTTGAAGATTTCACTGTGTTTACTAAAAGGCACACCTTTTCTGGCTTTTTCATATCATGATTCTTTTATTTTTCCCTCCTGTAGGCCATTGTTGAGTATGCCTACACTGGCACAGTATTCATCTCACAGGAAACTGTGGAGTCCCTACTGCCAGCTGCTAACCTGCTCCAGGTCAAGCTGGTGCTGAAGGAGTGTTGCTCTTTCCTAGAGAGCCAGCTAGATGCTGGGAACTGTATAGGCATCTCCCGCTTCGCTGAGACCTATGGCTGCCATGATCTCTGCCTGGCTGCCACTAAATTCATCTGCCAGAATTTTGAAGAGGTGTGCCAGACAGAGGAGTTTTTTGAGCTGACACGTGCAGAGCTGGATGAAATAGTGTCAAACGACTGTCTGAAGGTGGTAACAGAGGAGACTGTGTTCTACGCCCTGGAGTCGTGGATCAAGTACGATGTGACTGAGCGGCAGCAGTACCTGGCTCAGCTACTGCACTGCGTCCGCCTGCCTCTCCTCAGCGTTAAGTTCCTCACCCGCCTCTACGAGGCCAACCACCTTATCCGGGATGACCACGCCTGCAAGCACCTGCTCAACGAGGCCCTCAAATACCATTTCATGCCTGAGCACCGGCTCTCTTACCAGACGGTGTTGTCTACACGGTCACGCTGTGCTCCCAAGGTGCTACTTGCTGTGGGAGGCAAGGCTGGACTCTTTGCCACCCTCGAGAGGTAATACTGAACCCCAAACAGTAGTTCAAAACTTTTTTTTGCACATGTTTCATGTGAATTGGAAATACATTTAAGAAATGTAACAAATGTTCTAATTTCTTTCTCTTGTAGCATGGAGATGTACTTCCCTCAGACGGACTCATGGATTGGGCTTGCCCCTCTTAGTGTGCCCCGCTATGAGTTTGGAGTGGCAGTGTTGGACCAGAAGGTGTATGTGGTGGGTGGCATCGCCACACACATGCGACAGGGCATTAGCTACCGGAGACATGAGAGCACAGTGGAGAGATGGGACCCTGACAGCAACACCTGGTCCACAGTGGAGCGCATGGCAGAGTGTCGCAGCACCCTGGGGGTGGTGGTCTTGGCTGGGGAGCTCTATGCCCTAGGGGGCTACGATGGCCAGTATTACCTACAGTCTGTGGAAAAATATGTCCCCAAGGTGAAGGAGTGGCAGCCTGTGGCACCCATGACCAAGTCACGCAGCTGCTTTGCCACCGCTGTGCTGGATGGCATGGTTTATGCCATCGGGGGCTATGGGCCAGCCCATATGAACAGGTATGTTTTAATGTAGTCAATCTGCGGTGGAATTATTAGATTTTTAACAGGCAGTTTTGCTCATGTGGTTCCTATATTGTTTTGAAATACTAGGCCTACTTGAAAAGCTGCCGTCAACTTCCATTTGTTCCTGCACATGACAATTCTCACATCAGAAAGGTTATTTATGGTAGACCCCACAATACCTTTTAAGGGCTTTGATTCATCCATGGAAAGGGTTTCTGTCCCCCTTTCAATCATGAGAGAGAGAAAAAAATATATTTTTAATTTCTTCAACTCTTTTTACTGTGCAGTGTGGAGCGGTATGACCCCAGCAAGGATGCCTGGGAAATGGTAGCTCCCATGGCAGACAAACGGATCAACTTTGGTGTTGGGGTCATGCTAGGGTTCATATTTGTGGTTGGGGGACACAACGGGGTATCACACCTGTCCAGCATTGAGAGGTATGACCCACACCAGAACCACTGGACAGCCTGTCGGCCCATGAATGAACCACGCACAGGTGAGTTGGGAAATTACTCAAACAAGGTTTGTTATTTTGATGCAGGGAAGTTGACCATTCAGATTGCATGGCCAGAAATAACCATTTTATAATATCGATGTTTTTCCAGGGGTTGGCTCAGCGATCGTGGACAACTACCTCTATGTGGTGGGGGGTCACTCGGGGTCATCCTACCTGAACACTGTCCAGCGGTACAACCCCATCACAGACAGCTGGCTGGACTCTAGCGGCATGATGTACTGCCGCTGTAACTTTGGCCTGACTGCTCTTTGACCAAAGGCACCCCTGGGTAGGACTCCTTAAGAGAAGAGTTGGACGAAAGGCTTTTCTTTTTTTTGTCGTTTCCCCCATTCATCGCCAGCGGGCTGAGGAGGGCGCGACACTGCCGTGGATCCCGGCAAGCGAGCTTGCTGCTGGATGAATGTGCCCGGCTGGCGACAGGGGACCACAGAGATGGCCAGAGTGAGAAGGGTCGGGTCTGGGTGGAGGAGAGGAGCGGGGCAGATCACCATGGATCTTGTCAAGAAGATGACCACTACTGCTGCTGGACCACAACGAGGACTCTGCCATTTTACAGAGGACTGTGGGAGAAAACTAACTTAATTTTTTTGTCGTATACTTTTTTATGTTTAAGCCATTATTTCTGTTTCACACTCCAGACTTTTCTTTTCCCTGCTATGAGAAGAACATGTTCCAATTTTCTGGATCCTTAAAGTTTGTGTGTGCGTGTGGCGCAGTGTCTGTATGTTTGTGAGTAGATGCATGTCAGATTAAATGATTGTTATTTTGTGTCTCTTTGTGCAGGACTAAAGCTCAGGCAAGGTGATTGGCTCACACACAGAGTTTGAAACGTCTGCATCTAAATCAGTGCTTCACAAAGAGAAATTGGAATCTTTATATATTCACTTAAAAAGGGCTGCCTTTTCTCTCTGTAAATAGTTTAAATTAAAATAAATATATAGATATGAATATATCCTCTAGTGCATTGCCTGTAAATGTTTTCTGCATTGGGTTAATAGTTGTGTGTGTGAATAAGGCTGAATCAAGGGTTGAAGGAGAGGTTAGGAAGGATAAGCAAACCCCAATGAATTCTCCTGAGAGTACCTGCCACCTGTCTGTTTCATCCTTGGAGCAATTCAGAGATCCCTATGTTACAGCTTCTATTACATCTTCCTGTGGTAGGGTCACACTTCATCCCTCTTCATAAGCATTCAAAAGTGACCGTCTCTCTTTTCACTGCTGGGTTTGTAAACTGCTAACTGGTGCTATAGTCAGGATTCTGCTTTTTTTTTTTGCCTCATGGTATGAGGTTTATTTTATTTGTTCCTCTGTTATTGTTGTAGATGTTGGTTGTATACTTACAATATGTGCATCAAAATGCCCAAACTTGACAAGCCCCCATGCAATAAAACAGTGTCTTTACTTTGAGCCCCACGTTAAATTGGACTCTTTAGGCACAGTCTATCTGATGCTTTCACTCTACAGCCACAGGGATGCCATCTGTTTAGCTATGGTTTGCCTGAAACATTGTCCCTGCATTAAAAAGTAGTGGATCTGGCTATATGGCCGCCCACTATCACTGCCAGTTTCCTCACAAAGAAAGTCTGTGAGATTGTTGTGCTCTAATGGGTTAAGAACAAGCCTCTTGTATAGCATGTGAATGATCCCTACACCCTCTCCACTTGCTTGCCACCTCTGTTGAAGCATGTGTGAGGAGCTGCATGTGACCAAGGCTTTCCTGACGAGCTCAGGGAAGAGTGCATATACACAGCCTCATGAGACATGCCAAAAAAATAACCTGCTTTCATAAGTCTGGTGTAACTTTCCCACCTCCAGACAGCTACAAATAGCTTTCCCCTGTGTGCCAGAATCAAAAGGGTTATTTTCACTGCTAATGCATGGTACGTGTGACATACCGCCCTTCTGTCATATGGAGGGGTGGATGCGGTGTTGTCTCTGTCAAGGGAAATTGTCACTGTCACAAACTCTTCGTCCCTCTGAGAGACAAGGGCATGGAGACAGAGCTCAAAGTGCCCCAATGGGTTAGAAGGCTGCAGCTGAGTCTGGGTGTTGTAGCTCTGGGTCACTAAAGGGCAGGTAACATGAGGCAATGGAGAGCGCTAATGTGATGTGTAAACCTCAATAGTCCCTGTTGTTGGTCCAGAATGAAGGATGAAAGAGTAGTTTCCTTGTATTGTACATTATAGTTGTTTGCACATGTGGAAAACTTAAACAGAGCTCTGCATTGCACTTACCAAACTATTTGATACATAGTGTAATTTCAATTTGTACATAGGCCTCGATTTAGGGTAATGGCATTTAGACAATGCAATATTGTTTTCGGTGGATACCATTTTTGCTTTGAATTTTGCTTCCTTAAAAGCCAAGGCGTCTCATATTGCTGTGATGTTATCACAAGTGGCATGTCTGTTCACATGTTGTTTATACTGTCTGATGAAAGACCACCATCATCCAAACCTTTTGCTTTCCTCATCCCACTTCGCATTGTGTGCTCTTGTCTTTGGGGACATTCCCATGTTGTGCCTGTCAGTTCACATGTACTAGGAAACGTTTGCAGACAGAATCAATTGCATTGTGTACTCCAGTAAAAATACCAGTTATTGTTTAGCATTTTTCACAAGTAATGTAAGATTGGCACAAGACTGACGGTGTATGGGTCTTGCTCTAAGCCATTTTTATATTGTCTGTCTCACCAGAGAGCAGCCTTGCAGTTACAGTACTGCAGTTTTGTGTGTTCTTCCATTTAACACACAGTTGTGGTTACAAATGACAGTATACTTTAGCTCTTACCCTCAAACTTTACCTTGGATTTAAGCAATGATAAGATCAAGTGCAGTCCCCCTAAACAAACATCTTAAGACTGTTTAGTCTTGCTCTAGCAATAAGAGGCTGAGTACGAGCTTGTCCAAACAAGCATGTGAGTTCTTCACTTGACGACTCTTTCAAAATAATTTATTTTTGGTTGAGTCTTAGGGGTAGTTAAATTGGATTTAAAGGTGATTTTATTTCAAAAACAAGTTGTGTCATGGTTAGAACGTCTGCTGCTGTGTTTTTTCATCCTGGAATAGTGGGCTTTACCATTTCACACTGGAAACATCTCCAGCTATCTGTGATTTCTTCATGTTTTTTTAAAGACGCTATTGTTTAGTTGTCATGGGATGGAAGTAAATGGTGAGCCATTTTAACCTGCATGACTGTACAGCTCCTATTCGAATGCAGACTTTATCTACATAACTTTGAATTGATTCTGTAATTTCTTCAGATTTTATTTGTTTTGAATAATGTGAATGCAAATCCAACATAGCAAAAAAGCAATTGGTGAAATTTTACATCCTTGGGAGATCCTAAGATAACTTAAGACAAACAGTGTATTTCCTGGATGAATAAACGGCCATTTCATATAGTTAAAAATGAACTTTTTTTTATTTATTTTTTTACATTTGCCATTTTCATTGAATATTTCTTCCATTTAGATTGTTGCAATTCTTTCCTTTTGTGTTGTGTACTTTTAACTCTTGATGTTAGGTAAATTAGGTATTTGTCTGTCCACAACAGGCTGGGACGATGAGGCTGAACATCAGAACAGTGAAAGTCACGCAGGCGTGATTGTCTGCAGATGCCATCCATTGTCAAGCATTTGTGTTACTAGCATGTATAGAGAGATGTTATCCTTGTGGGGATATTGAAGACCACATTAATTTTAGGGATGTATTTATACTGACTTATTTACTGCGTTGGAGGGAAAACTCTTGGTCATAGGTGGATTCTGAAAACGTGAAACTGCAAAATGAAAGGATGTATAAATGTGTGAAGTTAGCTTAGTGGTTAAGAGCTTAGTGGTAGCTTAGTGGTTAAGAGCGTTGTGCCAGTAACCGAAAGGTCGCTGGTTCTAATCCCCGAGCCGACTAGGTGAAAAAATCTGTCGATGTGCCCTTGAGCAAGGCACTTAACCCTAATTGCTCCTGTAAGTCACTCTGGATAAGAGCGTCTGCTAAATGACAAAAATGTAAATTCATTTACTTATTTATTATGGCCTAACCATGTCTTGTTCGGCCACCACTCTCACCAAAGTGCTTGTTTTACTAAAGAATGCAGAGGGAGTACTAACATCAAACATGGAAAAGATTAAGGTCACTACTGTCTCGTGTCTAGAAAAAAATATATTGAAACCGATGTCAATGTTAGCCAAATGACCATTGCTTCTTTTACATTTCCCATGAGTGTGACTGAAGGTGATAATCTTGAATTGTATATCCTGTGGATTATTACTGGAACTACAAGAACCTTGCTGTAGAAGCAGTATTTTCCCCACATTTGATCATGCTTTGAACATTTTAGCCAGTTTATTTATGTGGTGCGGTCGTACCCTGTTAAAATTAATAAATGCCTGCCTTAAAAGGTACGCTTTGTTCTTGTCTCTAGTTTCTTAGTTCTATGTACAACAAACCAACATACAAACGCTAGAATATAAAAAATATTTGTATTGCTTTTTTAAAAAGACTTCAATGACTGCATAGAAAAAATTAACTAAAACACCATTCAATACATGAACACAAGGATTGTTGCTCGAAGACAGTTTCGTTATGTAGTTCCAACAGATTAAATTGTACACTGATAAATTGGCAGAGGTTCTATGCTTAACATTACATTTTGCATATGAAGCCTGTGATGAGCAGTAATGTTATTTCCAAATGATCAAATGCATTTAAAAAAATCACATTTGTATACTAATATTTACTAAAGGTTTGACATCTTGTTTAGATTGGATGTAATGTACCTTGTTATTGAATTGTGCAGAATAAATTGAATGCAGGGTATTATATGCTACTATGAAAGTCAAGCACTCAAGAAGCACTTCTGTCACTGTGCGGGGGTACTTGTAAGTACAAGTAATTACTTACATTTAAGACAGAACTGATATTTTGTCCAATGATACATTTTATATGACAATTTATACAATAATTATTTGAGCATGTATTCATTTTAAACACAAGTTAATGCAGTGTGACTTTCACATCCACCAAGTTGAAGCCCAATGGACATCTTAAAACAAGCAAGTAAATCAAGGATAATGATTGAATTTCCACAAAATGCAAAGCAATACTCTGTTTTTAAACGACAATGGAAAATAGTACAAAAAAGCACCAGTTTGATCTGAGGTCAGGGCAAATATGCACAAATGGATTGTAGTAGATGAGTCCTGTAGAATCTCTCTGATGCTTCACTAGTCTAGCCTATACCCTGTTGACAATTCTACGTCAAAGTTTAATTAGCCAAATTTGCTTCTCTGAAAGTGCAGCCATCCCACCCAAGACAACAAAATGCAAAACTTTACCTCTGCTTTTTTTTTTTTGTTGCAGTAAAGCTATTTAAGGTTGAGTTGATTCTTCAATAATATGCATACCTGCCCAGAACTATTATAGTCCATGCATATATTCTTGGATTCCAAGCATGCCCAAAGAGAAGATGCACTTATCATTTTGCACAGTGAGCGTTTGAGGCAACAGTCAGGCAAAATGGAGCACATCATTCCAAAAAGTCATCTCAAAGTATAAAACAAAACAAAAAGTCATAAAAAGTTTGGAAATGTGGTATAAGCATTTTCAAACTAGATAAAAAATTCATAAAATATGATTAGGTGATAAAAGTATCTGGTAAGAGCTCACTGAAGGATGGAAGACAAACATCATGAGCCAAATGTAAGGTAACTTGGATTCTCTTTTCTGTGAATGAAGGGCAATAAACAGGAAGGTGTTAGTGTAGATGTGCAATTTTCAAAAGATGCCTTCCTATTAGTGCTGTCTAGTGTCTACCTCCTTCATTCTGTGTCCCTTCTGAACCATGGTGACACAATTGGGGTCAATTCCTTTTCAATTCAAGTAAATTCAGGAGAATTTCTATTCGTCCTGAAATTATGGAATGAAAAATAGAACTGACCCCATCCCTGCTTGGTTACATTAGTGCATCTCATTTGTCTGAGGCGCGGATGTAGACAAGGGAAGAGAGCAGCAGGAGTTCAGGGGGCTTGTTTAACAGGATCAGGTTGTCGCTCCTCAGCCCGTCATAGTGCATCCAGTAGCCGTCTATCTGGAAGGCTGCGGAGTAGTGATGCTCTTCCTTGTTGAAGAGTGTGGCGCCCTCCAGTGAGTACCTATGGAAAAGCAGGGAGTTACAATTTGATGTTTCTGCATGTTAAAGACCATTCTCAGTTACCAGAAAAAGCTTAAAGAAATCAGTGCAAATCGCAAAGTACAGGCAAGTAGGTTACTGTTTAAACAAAATAAAAACATATCGCCAATCAATTACATTTAACATCCAGGGAGAAAAATAAACAGCAACTAAGACAATGAGGCTGGGATATGAGTCCTCCTGCTCTACATTTACATTTAAGTCATTTAGCAGACGCTCTTATCCAGAGCGACTTACAGTTAGTGCATACATTATTTTATCGAACCCACAACCCTGGCGTTGCAAACGCCATGCTCTACCAACTGAGCTACATCCCCTGCCGGCCAAATCCCTCCCCTACCCTGGACGACGCTGGGCCAATTGTGCGCGCCGCCCCATGGGTCTCCCGGTCGCGGCCAGCTACGACAGAGCCTGGATGATTTCTTTACCTGTGTTGGGACAGGGCCAGATGGTAGGGAACATAGGACAGCTCCTCAGACTTCCAAAGCTGCATGTTGAGAATGACAAAAGGAGGTGGTCCATGGCAGAATACCCTCTGAGAGAACTCCCTCAACCCATTACACCTGAAGAACAGAAAGCAAAATCAGTCAGCATCATAGAAAGAACAGATAAGAAAATATGGTGATTCAACATTAAGTCTCTGGGGAGATTTGGACAGCCACTGTCAATCAATTAACAATATAATAATACTCTTGGATTAAAAGCTCATGATCTGTAACACCAGTGCAGTCGGAAAGTATTCAGACCCTTTCTCCACATTTTGTTACGTTACAGCCTTATTCTAAAATGGATTAAATTATTTTTCCCCCTCATCAATTGAAACAATACCCCATAATGACAAAGCAAGAACAGGTTTTTAGAAATGTTTGCAAGAAAAACCTACTAAAACAGAAATACCTTATTTACATACGTATTCAGACCCTTTGCTATGAGACTCGAAATTGAGCTCAGGTTTCATCCTGTTTCCATTGATCATCCTTGATGAGTCTACAACTTGATTGGAGTCCACCTGTGGTAAATTCAATTGATTGGACATTATTTGCAAAGGCACACACCTGTCTATATAAGGTTCCACAGTTGACAGTGCATGCCAGAGCAAAAACCAAGCCATGAGGTCGAAGGAATTGTCCGTAGAGCTCCGAGACAGGATTGTGTCGAGGCACAGATCTGGGGAAGGGTCCCAAAAAATGTCTGCAGCATTGAAGGTCCCCAAGAACACAGTGGCCTCCATCATTCTTAAATGGAAGTAGCTTGGAACCACCAAGACTCTTCCTACTGCCCTGCCAAACTGAGCAAGCAGGGGAGAAGGGCCTTGGTCAGGGAGGTGACCAAGAACCCGATGGTCACTCTGACAGAGCTCCACAGTTCCTCTGTGGAGATGGGAGAACCTTCCAGAGGGACAACCATCTCTGCAGCACTCACCCAATCAGGCCATTATGGTAGAGTGGCCAGACGGAAGCCACTCCTCAGTAAAAGGCACATGACAGCCCGCTTGGAGTTTGCCAAAAGGCACCTAAAGGACTCTCAGACCATGAGAAACAAGATTATCTGGTCTGATGAAACCAATATTGAACTCTTTGGCCTGAATGCCAAGCGTCACGTCTGGAGGAAACCTGGCACCATCCCTATGGTGAAGCATGGTGGTGGCAGCATCATGCTGTGGGGATGTTTTTCAGCGGCAGGGACTGGGAGACAAGTCAGGATCGAGGCAAAGATGAAAGGAGCAAAGTACAGATATATCCTTAATGAAAACCTGCCCCAGAGCACTCAGGACCTCAGACTGGGGCAAAAGTTAACCTTCCAACAGGACAATGACCCAGGTTAACCTTCCAACAGGACAATGACCCAGGTCTCTGAATGTCTTTGAGTGGCCCAGCCAGAGCCCGGACTTGAACTCGATCGAACATCTCTGGAGAGACCTGAAAATAGCTGTACAGCGACGCTCCCCATCCAACCTGACAGAGCTTGAGAGGATCTACAGAGAAGAATGGGAGAAACTCTCCAAATACAGGTGTGCCAACCTTGTAGTGTTATACCCAAGAAGACACAAGGCTGTAATCTCTGCAAAAGGTGCTTCAACAAAGTACTGAGTAAAGAGTCTGAATACTTATGTAAATGTGATTTCATTTTATTTATATATATATATATATATATATATATAAATAAAAATTAGCAAATATTTCTAAAAACCTGTTTTTGCTTTGTCATTATGGGGTAGTGTATAGATTGATGAGGGGAAAAAAAACAATTTAATCAATTTTAGAATAAGGCTGTAACGTAACAAAATGTGGAAAAAGTGAAGGGGTCTGAATACTTTCTGAATACACTATAATGTATACCGTATATGTAGGAGTATATTTTAATGTGTACTGTGTATATCAAACAATATTTATGTAATGTAATACTGTGTATAAAAGCACCATGTATGTAAAAATGTATGAATGATGTATATGTAACAGAATAGCTGTACAAAACTCAAATGTAAAACAAAGTTACTTTTGTCCTCCGGAGAGGAGCCAATATATGTCTTTTTTTTTTTTTTTACATTATGTCTCTCACCCCAGTTCTTTGCAGAGAATGATCTTGGGACAGAAGAACTCATCCACTGCTGACTGAATGGGATCTCTAGGGGGCAGCTCATGAGGAGGACTGGGAGGGAAGAAAAAGGGTAAGAAGGCTGACTCTGAACACCATGTAGTTAAACCAAATATACACAGAGTGTACAAAACATTAAGGACACCTGCTCTTTCCATGACAGACTGACCAGGTGAATTCAGGTAAACGCTATGATCCCTTATTGATGTCACTTGTTAAATCCACTTCAAAATCAGTGTTGATGAAGGGGATGAGACGGGTTAAAGAATGATTTTTAAGCCTTGAGACATAGATTGTGTATGTGAGCCATTCAGAGGGTGAAATGGCAAGACAAAACATGTAAGTGCCTTTGAACGGGATATGGTAGTAGGTGCCAGGCGCACCGGTTTATGTCAAAAACTGCAACGCTGCTAGGTTTTTCAAGCCCAACAGTTTCCCATGTGTATCAAGAATGATCCACCACCCAAAGGACATCCAGCCAACTTGACACAACTGTCGGAAGCATTGGAGTCAACATAGGCTGTGGATGCTCTCGACACCTTGTAGAGTCCATGCCTCAACGAATTGAGGCTGTTCTGAGGGTAAAGGCGAGGGGCAAAAATTAGCTATCTAACCAACAATTGTCACAGTGTATTTGAGAGACAAGTGCTCATTGTGCAAATGTATTTGTTTTCAATAAACATTGGAGACGAAATATATAGTTTACATGTTGTCAACAATCTAAACCAACCCTGTCCGTTTTGCCCAATAGTTGCGCACGCGTTGGTTTTGTTACTAAAAAACCAACCCGCCTATACCAACCAACCCGTCTATGGTCCTCTGTAGCTCAGCTGGTAGAGCACCGCGCTTGTAACGCCAAGGTAGTGGGTTCGATCCCCGGGACCACCCATACACAAAAAAATGTATGCACGCATGACTGTAAGTCGCTTTGGATAAAAGCGTCTGCTAAATGGCATATTATTATTATTATACTCTCCCACTGCTGGCCACTGGGCTTCCTATCCTCACCATATTTGGTGGGGAGTGGAAATGCCAACCAGATGCTTCAGATTTATACATTGAGTGATAAACTCTATCCACCACCAGTATCAGGCTACATACATGTACTGTATTTACACTAACCTAATTAATCCACGTAATCTCCAAACTGAAAGAAAGACTTAACATAGTGGTTAGGATTTGGTAATAGGTACAGTATAATCCACGGTCTACATGCAGCCCACCATGGGTAAACATGACTTTATAAGGCTCTGGCAGAGACTGGACCAGAGCTGTTTCTAAACCAACCACACTTCATCATTTCATACTGTGACCCATTAGACAGCTGGACCTTATTTTAGTCAAGCAGCGTGTCAAGGGGGAGAAATAAAAGCCTCTTGAAGACAGAGGTGTAGACCAGCAAAGCAAGCAGAAGAATTGAAGAATTAGCAAAGCAAGCAATAGAGACAAGGAAGGTCCTCCCATTTTAACTCATAGCTTTTTAGTTACCTTATTTACAGTGAATCACTATTGGTTTTCATACAAATGAAGGATTACTGGTCTCTGAGCAGAAGCTCAACCAGCTCTGGGAGATATAGTGCAGACTTTGGCTTATAGCCTTTGCCTCTCTTACTTGATGTTGATGGTTTTCTGTATGAACTCCTGGAAACGAGCAGGACAGCTCCAGTTGGTGCACAGACTCTCCTGCATGGTAGACATCATTGTCTCCAAGTTCTTGGTGAAGTTCTCATGTTCGTTACCAAATAGGTCGATCTCCAATGCTGCATGGTGGATCACTGAGCGGTACTGCCTCTTGGACATCCTGTCCCAGATCCACAGCATCTTAACGGTGGTGTAGTCATAGGAGTCCATCAGGTAGAGGAAATGCTCCACAAACTGCCTGCCCAGGAATACGCCCACCTCCCGGGGAAAGCTCTGGTTGTCTCTCAGAATGACATAAAGAATCATGAGGAACCCATCGATGGTGCAGGTGTTCTTTAGGCTTATCTTAACATACAGAGGGGTGCATGAGATGGCCTTCCTCCCTGCCCTGATGGTGTAGACGCCCCCCCATGGGAGCACAGGCCTCCAAAAGGAACGGTCCTCTTCATCATTGTTGTTGATGGATGCACGGATCTCCTCAAACAATGTCTTGGTCCTAGGGAAACAACATTACATTTACATTTTAGTCATTTAGCAGACGCTCTTATCCAGAGCGACTTACAGTTAGTGAGTGCATATATTTTTTATACTGGCCCCCCGTGGGAATCGAACCCACAACCCTGGCGTTGCAAACGTCATGCTCTACCAACTGAGCTACACGGGACCTGAAGGTATATGTTATCATTCGCTCTCGGTTGAAGTTGCCCTTAAAGGATAAGTTATTTTTTACAACCAAAAATAAATATGTAAATGGCATGTCATAGAGGATCCAAAACACCTTTTCACGTTTTAGAGAAACTTACCCCAAACAGCAAATCACTCCCTCATCCTTGTGTAGTATGGGGGCCCTGAAGGAATATGAACAAAATCTCCAAAAACACCCCAAAACGTCCTTTTAGAGACAGCAAAGCTGTCAGTATAGTCATGCAGGTCTTTAGATGTACACATGAAGTTGTCATTCAGAACTTGATCCGCAATGTTATATTCCCTTTTGCACGACTCGAGCAGTCTGTAACTGTTCCATTTTTCGTGTAGCCTGCTGCTGCAGGTAACTACCAAAATAAAGGAAACACCAACATATAGTATCTTAATAGCGCATTGGGCCACCACGAGCTGCCAGAACAGCTTCAATGCGCCTTGGAACGGATTCTACAAGTGTCTGGAACTTCCTGTGTGGAAGCACCGCATGCTTTCAATATACACTACATGGCCAAAAGTAGGTGGACACCTGCTCATCGAACATCTCATTCCAAAATCATTGACATTAATATGGAGTTGGTCCCCCCTTTGCTGCTATAACAGCCTCCACTCTTCTGGGAAGGTTATCCACTAGATGTTGGAACATTGCTGCGGAGACTTGCTTCCATTCACGAGAGCATTAGTGAGGTTGGGCACTGGTGATTAGGCCTATGGGGTCGATGTGGTTGAGGTAGGGGCTCTTTGCAGGCCAGTCAAGTTCTTCCACACTGTTGCCACAAAGTCGGAAGCACAGAATCGTCTAGAATGTCATTGTATGCTGTAGCGTTAATATTTCCCTTCACTGGAACTAAGGGGCCTAGTCCGAACCATGAAAAACAGCCCCAGACCATTATTCCTCCTCCACCAAACTTTACAGTTGGCACTATGCATTGGGGCAGGTAGCGTTTTCCTGGCATCTGCCAAACCCAGATAAATCCGTCGGACTGCCATATGGTAAAGCATGATTCATCACTCCAGAGAACACATTCCCACTGCTCTAGAGTGCTACGAGCTTCAGGACTCGGCGGTCCAGTTCTGTGAGCTTGTGTGGCCTACCACTTCGCGGCTGAGCCGTTTTTGCTCCTAGACGTTGCCTCTTCACAATAACAGCACTTAAAGATGACCGGGGCAGCTCTAGAAGGGCAGAAATTTGATGAACTGACTTGTTGGAAAGGTGGCATCCTATGACGGTGCCACGTTTAAAGTCACTGAGCTCTTCAGTACGGGCCATTCTACTGCCAATGTTTGTCTATGGAGATTGCATGGTTGTGTGCTCGGGTTTATACACCAGTCAGTAACGGGTGTGGCTGAAAAGGCCGAATCCACAAATTTGAAGGGGTGTCCACATACTTTGTATCCCTCATTTAAGTGTTTATTTTAATTGAGCAGTTACCTGCAAAATGGATGGAGAGGTATCGCTCGAGTCGCAACAAAATGGAATATAACGTTGCGGCTAAAGTTTGGAATGACACAATTTAACGTGTACAACATCTAAAGACCTGCATCACTGTACTGACAGCTTTGCCGTTTCTAAAAGGATGTATTTGGAGCCTTTGTTCATGTTTTTCAGGGCCCCCATACTACAAAAGGATGAGGAAGTGATTTGCTGTTTGCGCTAAGTTAAAACATGTGAAATCACAAAAAGGTGTCTGGACCCTTCTATAACATCCTATTTACATAAAAAATAGAGATTTGGTTTATACATACTTAACCTTTAAGCACAGTTCTAGGATCAGCTTATATCCTCAAATCCTTACCTTCATCTTCCTTATGATTAATAAGAGTTTTCCTGCATGGGATTGGTGAAGGAAGGTATTCATAATTTACTAAATGCCTAAATAATTAAGCTACGTATGAGTGTGCATGGCAATACATCCCTCATACCAGTGGTCATCCTATCTTGTAGCAAGCCAACTGTCGGATCTGACGATGACATGCACATTTGCAATGCAAACCCTGGTAGCTTGCTACATAATGAATATATTAAAAAAAATATGATACGTGTTCAGTCAGTATCATTTGATAAATCGAATTGAAGACTAACATGGCAGCTAGCTATAATTAATGCTCTCTTGTATGTAGCTTCGATACAACCAAGATACTTTTGACATTCAAGTTGCAACACACACACACACAGGGGTGTAATCATCCCAAACCGTTTAAAACGCAACTAAAACGAGAGTTTCTATTGGATAAATGCAGGTAGGTCCCTCCCCGTTTCGTTCGCTTCCGTTTAAGTAACGTTTTGCAACAGAATCGGGGTTTGACTAGATGGGTTACAGCTTTTTTTCAGATTTGACATTTAAGCAGCAGGTTAGGAGGATTTACGCAGAATTTACGCAGCAGGTTTGGAGAATTTACACAGCAGGTTTTAAGAATTAGTTTAAAATTAGTGAAAGGGTTAGCTAAAATACACACAAAATAAATCTACTTTTGACGTTAATTTGACAAAAGCTGTATCCCTTCTAGCCATGACCACATAACCAGCGTAATGAATACGCCCCTGGTATACACCAGCTGCTAGTAGACGTTAGCTTAGCAGACCATCTAACGTTAATAGCTAGCTATCTCCATTGTAACTAGTGAAGTCTTCAAAACCCACGTGTTGGTGCATTTAAGTGTGGATGCAATATTGCAAAATGTTGAAGTCGGATTATCTACTAATGTTTTCCAAGGGATTTATTGGTTGGTTTGTCTAGCTAACTAGATCACATGCAAATTAGCTAGTTCGCTTAGCAGCAACTAGCTAGCTAGCAAACGTTAGTAACGTTACCTTTCAATTTGCAGACTCTCTTCGGTACTCGAAATCAGGGTTTTGAGGTCTTCTGTGTCGGTCAAAATGCAGAATTTGCTCTCCATCGTTCTCTGTATTTCTTCATGTCTTAATTCAGGCCAACAGCCACAAATCCTTCTCTATAACCCTCGAGAAAGCTTGGCACTCAGCAAGCTTAAAAACATACTGAGCAACGTCAAGTTACGCCCATTGCTTCGCGTGGCCACGCCTATAAACATTGGTTGGTTTACGCCCTTCAGCAATTCAATGCTGCCACCTGCTGGCTAAGACATTTTGTCTTTCCATGACATTTTCCTTCCATAGACATGCCTCTTCCTCTTGTGGGGGCGCGCAGGGGTGTAAAGCATATTACGTCTTCTTATTGGTTGTAGTGGATTTGCATGATTTTAAGACTCGTGATTGGTCAATAGTTCCTGCCCTCAACTGAGACTGTTCTCTGACAGGTTGATAGCATTTGATAGCCATACAGTTTACTCCACCCACTAGTAGCTACGTGTTTAGTTACGTGTGCTTATATTCTCAGAAGTTTTTATGGCTATATCGAGACATTTTACAAGCATTATTGATTTGAGCTACTCTGGCACGGTATATGTTACAACACTAGCGCTACAAGTAATCAGAATCAAAACGCAAACCTAGGGAAGAAGATAACTAGCTAACTGTGTTTAGGGGACGAGCTGGTTTAGCCCAACGATGTCAGCCCAAATCATTAGTGGAAAAGAAGTTTCGGCGTAAGTGTAAATTTTCTGTACATTTTTTAAGCAATTTGTTGGACGTTTTGTAACTTTGCTCGCTAGCACACATTTCTAGTGCAGAGATATAAAGCACCATGTTGATTTTGTATAAACTACCGTTATCTTTAGGAACATTGCTTCCTCGAAGCAGGCTGGTTTTGTCACAGATCTCTAACGTTCTGTTGCAGTCAATATAACTATAATCTGTGTTGCAGGCATTGTGTCAGTGTTTGGATCGGTAACAGCCACGTGCATCAAGCATGGTCTGGCAATCTAGTCTCGGGATGTTCTGTAGAATCTCAACCCGATATATGGCAAACATCAAACAAAGTTGGAACAGATTTTTAAAAAAACATGAGAAATCCATTTTTCATGAAGTTCTAAATTCAACAGTATCCATTTAGGTGATATCCACGTGAACGCCCCTCCAACTGGTAATTACTAGTGGGAACGTAGTCCTATAATGCTGCGTTCATAACCAAGTGGTAAGGTGGAAATGATCCGTTCTGAAGTTGTAAATGCCAGTTGGATGCGTTCACGTGCTTTGAACACGTTGAGAAACGCTGATTGTCTAATGATCAACAAGCTGCGTCAACCATAAACTGGAAGTACAGCCAGCATTCTTGTAAACCCCATTATAATAGATTGCTTTTTATAAATAATGTTTTGTTCCATTTAACTGCCGAGAATGATGTTATCAATTTTTGATAGATTAGTATCCCACTAGTAATTACCAGTTGGAGGGGCGTTCAAATGGACTATTCCCAGTCATATGTGGTAAATACCACCTTCCCACTTGGTTATGAATGCAGGGTAAGTCTCAGGTAAAGTAGATGGAAACAATATTGCAATAGTTTTTGCAGCTTCACTGGAATATTGTGAAAACATTCTGGGCAAAGTTGATACCAGGAACTAGAATGTTTCATTCTATTTTTATTAGGGCTGGGCGATATGGCCAAAATATAATGTGGCTGTATAAAAAAAAACCCTAGGATGGCAACACACACATTGAGGGATTTCAATGGGTCTTTTCTCCATTCTGATTGTTTTATACTGATCAATTCAACTAAAAATAACTTTCAGCATTTTCATCGATTTCTACATTTCCTGCACTCATTTGAGATCATTCTCACACTGCCACGTAGGGCTGCACGATATGAGCAAACAATCTTTATTTTTAACCAAATGTTGCAATTGTGATTTAGAGCAAAACACTTTGGTGAACTGTTGGAATCATGGAAATATAATGATTATTCTAATTCTAAAGTTAGAATATAATAGTGGGCACTTTGAATACGGTGTTGTTTGACATGACAATGAATGAAAATGCCAGGGAGGAGTTACTGTGACAGGGTAGGAACCAAAGTGTTGATATGTGATTCCTAGGGGACCCTATAAGCTTTGGCTACATTGAATGTTTTCTCTTAGCTACTTCATGTAGCTAACATATTCTTGCTTTGTGTATTCCTCTTTGATTTAGAAGATACTGTTGCACAAACATGCTGATTTAGGTCTAAATCATCACTGGTATTATCAGGCTGTATAGCTAATTACGTTTGCTCTGACTCTACATTTGTTAGCTAGCAATTACCATTAGTGTCTATCAATTAGTGACTAACAAGATTTAGGCCCAATTTGCTAAGAAAATACAAATTAGCTTATTTGCAGATGTAAGAAACTCAAATTAATAGTGTAATTATGGAACGCTAGTGGATTTATATTAAGAAGCAAAGTGAAAACAGCATTGTTGTCATCAACACAGTTGCATGTGATGCATTGACCATGCAGACTGAAAGCAAGTGTCAAAGGTCGAGGAACAAGAAATGCACTCCTTGAGTGACGGGGCTAGGTCTGTGTGGAAAGCGGCAAGGAGAGAGAAAGAGAACGAAGAGAGATTACTAAAGTAGCGAATTAAACTATATAAATGGACGTTACGCATAAAGTATCACATTTAATAAACAAAACAGTCAAATACTGTTATAGAAGTAAAAACCCCAACCGTTCCGTGCATCAATACTGGTATATTGTAAAATATGGTATACCTACCGCCCAGCACTAATTTTTATGGTGGCTACATTATTCCCAACCTTGATACAGTATTGTGTAATGGAATGTGGCCTTTGACCAATTATTTTATTAATGTGAATATTGAGTTTCAGTGGATGGATAGCTCGGACAACAGTGATATGCTTTATTAATTTGATAGGCTAAATTGTATGTAATCCAAGACTTACCTATATTAGATTTCAATTGATTTCGTCTGGTAGATTAATTTGTAATGTCCAAAAAACATAGAACAAGTTACGGCAAAGTTTCTCATCTTTGCCATATTTGTTTCCCAATAGTGTTTTGAACAGGGCCCGGTTTCCCAAAGGCATCTTAAGGCTAAATTCATCATTAGAACCATAAGATCCTATAGTTCTAACAAATTTAGCCGTAAGATGCTTTTGGGAAACCGGCCCAGTTCAGTTTTGAACATTTTAAAGTCCAGTTTCACTTCATACTCACATGACTGACTATGTCGTTTAATCAAGAGTATTTTAGGTGACAACCTGACTTTTGATATATGAAGGGACTTTCATTCAGCAACTCATGCTTGTCACAAGACTCGACTGCCCGTGGCCTCCTAACTGTGTACCTCACATTACCCATTAGTCAGTTAGGCCTTTTTCAAGCTGAATGACCCAAAACCACATATTCTTCAATTTACATCCCTTTCTTCAATAAGTTCAGTTGTGCTGTTCATTACCTGAATAATTTCAGAAGTAACATTAAAGCAGTGCTGTTGTTATCTGTGGACTAGGCTGTTGCAGAGTAGCTGCAAAGGAACTACTACACTGTGGCCTTGATCAGAGTACAACACTGTTGTTTGATGGCCTTCCATGGCCAGTGTTGACCAATAAAGGATTAGATAACTCCCTTATGCTGATACAATATAGACTAGTGTTGCCACCACTGTTTATGTGCAACATTTCTAGAGAACCCTTAGAATTGTCACGGTCTGAGACCTGAGGGTTGTTGATTCATCATATCTATTGTTGACTGCTTCAGCAAATTGTTAGTTGGTTTAATTGTGTCAGCCTTTTGTATCAATGAGTGAGAGAGAAAGCATAGTGTCCTATATAGTTAGCCTATGCTTTGTAACAGTTTGGTTATAAAACAAGTTGAGCCTAGCACAGTAGAAGTTATGTTATAGGAATATTTCACAGTAATAGCCTAACTATTAGGCTATAAACAAATTGTCATTAAAATGGTGGATACAAACTGGTGTTAACTGTACTGGTTCCATGGTGGAAAAAGACTTGTAAAAAGTGTAACGCAAGGTTAATCACAGACATGCAGCCATTTCTCTCTGTAGGCAATAGTATTCACATGTGACACTCATTACTTTATATTTTACACTTGTGTTGAGCAAATGTCTTTAAAAATGCCTATTGTGTAAAAACACTGTTCTGAGCAGTAGCCAATGTTGAAATATGTCTTAAGGGCCTACCTTGATTATTGGGCATTCTCAATTGTGTGCAAACAAAATCATTGATTTATCAATAGTAGTTGAACAAACCAACTTTTAACCTGTCTGCAAGCAAATGAATCTTGCAATCATGAGTGAGTTTAAGCACTTTTGTTAGTCTTTTTGTATATTAGTCATTGTGCATAGTTGTATGGTTTGTTAAACTTTGAAATCAATGTTTTTCGTTTGGCATATATTTTAAAGTGAAAAATCAGTCTCAGTGTAGTTCTGTTACCATGGAATTGCCCTGTAACAATCTAGCCACCTAGCAAAAAGTTATAGAGTTGTCACATCGTACATTGCTGTCTCTCCCACGCTAAAATGGCCAACTACACCCAAGGTTGCCTGTGGTTTGAGTCCCTACGTGCCGTTAGGGCTCCTTCCCAGCATTGCATTCCTGGGGGTGCTCTCTTCCATACCCCTGTAGTTGTCTCTCAGCTGGTAGTCATGCTACATCACACCTCTTGGACGCTCCAAGGTGCTATGTAGACGTTTGGAGGGTGGAGGTCCATGGCTTCAGAGGTCTCTGGATACACCACGTCCCTGTAGGACAAACCAGGTTCTAACCCTGAATAACTGTCCCCCTGCTTTCTCCCTGTGAGATTGACCGTAGCTCCTTTTGTGTCCACAGGCAGGTGAGGGAGAGGCTGAAGAAGGATGTGGAGCAGATGAAGACGCAGGACCCTAATTTTCGACCAGGTCTGGTTGTGTTACAGGTAATTGCAAGAGTGTTGTAAGGGCTCTTGATTCTGATTCTTCCCATGTAGTGCATTTTCCCATGGCCTGTTTCCTTAATGGTCAATGGGTAGGGTTTTGTATCATTTTGAGAGTCACTAATTTGTGCTGCATGCTAAAATGGATACAGAATATAGCCTGGGGTCATATTTTTCCTCAGTCAGATTCAGAACCACTGACTCAGAGTGGAGAGGATCATTTATTCCATTCCTATACTTTGTCTGTTATATGGCACTAGTTCAATTATGAAACATTATGTATTAATTAACTAACACTGGTTATTCACTCATTGACTAGTTTGTAAAAGCATTATTGGATCAAACAAAGACTACACATTTTGCTGTGCACTTTTCAGGTGGGGGACAGAGATGATTCAAACCTCTACATCAGCATGAAGCTGAAAGCAGCAGCTGAGGTAAATAACAGAATGTTTGATGTGATCATTCCTGTTTCATACATATTCCAAATTGTTCTCTGTTCAGTTCTTAAAGGGATACTTCGGGATTTTGGCAATGAGACCCTTTATCTACTTCCCCAGATACCATAGCTAGCAGATACCATAGCTAGCAGATACCATAGACTTCCAGTCATTGAGCTAATGCTAGTTAGCATTGGCTCGCAAAACTACCTCTAACTTCCTTCATACTGGACGCAGAGACATAAAAATGGTATCGACGAGTTCATCTGACTCTGGGGAAGTAGATAAAGGGCTAATTGCTAAAATCCCAAAGTATCCCTTTTTAACTCAGTTTTTCTTGTGCCTACTGTAGATTGGAATTAATGCCACACACCTGAGGCTCCCCAAGACTGCCACAGAGGATGAGGTGAGGAGGGATCCTGAGGGGGTTGACTTCACAGCTTGCATAGCGTTTCTGCCTGGTGGTCCTTGCAGGCCTCTTTCTGTCACTCTGTTTGTCTCAGTCATTCTCTCTCTATAGCTTTCTTTCCCTCCCACTCTCTTTTACACACCCCGTCACTCTTTAGGTGCTGCACAGCATTATGGAGGTGAATGAGAATTCTGCTATCCATGGCCTCATCGTTCAGCTGCCTCTGGACTCCATCCACAACATAGATACTGAGAAGGTGACCAACGTTGTGGCCCCAGAGAAGGATGTGGATGGGTGAGCCCTGAGATGTTTCAACATGTTTGATGCTTTGTGTGACCAGTTTACTGTCATCAAAGACCGCTCTCAAAAAACAATCAAACCGTGATAAACTTCTCTCAAAAACGGTTAGAATTTTTCTAGTGACACTCAGGCAAATAATTCCCACACAATAGCTTGGCTTCCATCCAATTGGCGACAGATTTTCATGTGAATATTCAAAAGTCTGTATGAAGAAACTATGCACACTTTCCCACCAGTGGTGTTTCCACCAAACTGACTTGTTGCAGATAAAAATGTGTGTGTGATGTAGTGCACCCAAAATGTATTTTTCGCATGTTTTCATGTACTGAATAACAATCTAAAGTTCAATGTGTTTCCAACGCATTTTCAACTCTACCGATTTATAGTTTTGTCACAAACTATTGCGTTAAATAGCAAATGTGCCTACTCTGGTCTTCACATGTGCGCTCTAGCCAACAGTTCGTAGATGCAGTGTGGGTAGGCTTGTCTACATTATGAGATTATTATGGATAAGAGCAAGAAGTTCATAACTTATTTCATCTGTAGCCTAATGAACTGCATGGTTTCCCGAGTCGTAGTGGGAGGACCACACACCATATCATTGCATGACTCCCAAGTTTACTGCGATATGATGGTTTTTATATCAATATTTGCGCATAATGGTATTTCCACCACCATTTCTCGCATTATTAATTTTACAGACACGGAAAGATCCCACCATGTCGGACAAACAAATGAACTGTCGGCATTGATAAAATTGTACCGAGACAGCTGTGATGGAAACAGGAAGTAGTGATTATTTATTTTTGTTACAAATCTGGTATGACTGTACACGCATAAAAACTGTGAATGGAAACGTGGTTAGTGAAACCATTTTGCCATTCTGGAAGTGTTCTAGTTGCATTTGTGTAGTGTAAGCCATGTTTATCTTGTGTTTATTGGACAGTGATGCTGATGCAGGCTGTGTGTTTGGAGGATGCAGGCCTTTTGTCTTGGTGTTTAGGAAGCTCCATTAATCTCTCACTCCTCTAATTGATTCAGATTGTTCTCTGGACTTACTGAGAGACCAGTAAAGGAGCTTCTGCACTGCACTTAGCTGGGCCTGTTAAAAAGACAGGGCCTGAATTACAACCAGTGAACTAATGATGAGGACATTGATATATGTCGTCATCTCAAAAGAGTAATGATTTTTTCTGAGGGTACTAATCATGCATAGCTTGCTTGCTGGGGAGATAATGATGGAATGGGGAAACGAAAGAAGGCATTATAGGAAACACAATGTACCATCAGAAGGAGTAGTGTGTGTATGTATGTGTATATATATATAATTACGTGAAAGTATGACTAACTCTTAGTGGTTAGAAACCGAATGGCGGATGCTCATAATCAGTGTACTCTGTGTGTGTGTTCCCAGTCTGACCAGTATAAATGCAGGGAAACTGTCCCGGGGGGACCTGGGTGACTGTTTCATCCCCTGTACTCCTAACGGCTGCATGGAGCTCATCAGACAGACTGGTGGGTACAGCAGAGAAACTACTTATGAGCCAATGCTAATCAGCTGAATTACTTAATATGTAGAAGTGCTCAATTTAATGATTGACACTGCAGTGCTTGTGTGCAGGTGTTTCTGTGGCCGGGAAAAGAGCTGTGGTGATTGGCCGCAGTAAGATTGTGGGCGCGCCCATGCATGACCTGCTGCTGTGGAACCACGCTACCGTGACAACCTGCCACTCAAAGACTGCTGACCTCGCTGCTGAGGTAACCCAAGCCCAGGATATGTCATACGCTCACTCAGAACATGAAAACACTCGCAACCATAATCTGTCATATACAAGCCATTCATATAAACATGTACTACAGGCAACTCGTCATGATGGTGTATACAGGTAGATTACATGTCACATATAGATCCCACATACAGCAGCGCTACTGTTTTTTAGATTGGCAGACTTATGCCACGAAACAAACTAATATAGGATAGTGAGGAGATCCATCCAGTCCCCTCTCTTTCCAGGTGGGCAGAGCAGACATCTTGGTGGTTGGGATTGGGAAAGCAGAGATGGTGAAGGGGGATTGGGTGAAGAAGGGAGCGGTGGTCATCGACTGCGGCATTAATCACATCCCAGGTTAGTATGGTCCCCTCCATTGGATTCCATTTTGACAAGTGCTCATTTTTTTCTAGAATAAATGTGTGAGCTAAACAGAGAGTGAATCATTGGTTCTCCATGGAGCTGATACTTCTCTTTATGGGTAACATTTAGGGGCATTCTGGGTAACATTTTAGGGGTGCTTGTGTTGACTTCATGGTTCCTCTGTGCTCCTCAGATGAGACGCGGCCCAGTGGGAAGCGCGTAGTGGGGGATGTGCACTACTCCTCTGCTAAGGAACAGGCTGGCTTCATCACTCCAGTACCAGGAGGAGTGGGTCCCATGACTGTGGCCATGCTCATGCAGGTAGGTGGACCAACCGGGTATTGAACACGTGGGTTTTCTGTACGTGTTATACGTTAGCCCACCAATCTAAGGTTAGGAAAACGAGTCCTCAGATCTTAGGCAAGGTTACTCATCACGTGAGCGTAGCTTCCCGATCCACCTCCACTACAAAGGCAGTGGCATCCCTACTAGTAATCACACAAATCACACCACCTCCAAAATTCATCCTGTGAGAAATTCACATTTCAGGGGAAAAGGGGTATTTATTTGTGACCTAATCAATGCCATTCACTCACCTGTTTACCCATCATGGCAAAGACAGACTAGGTTAAACTGAATGTGGAGCATTTTGTAATAGATAAGGTGTTCTTTCAGACACTAATTTGTCTCTGTCTGGTAATCCACTGAGGTAATGGAATTCTAACGACATACAGTACCAGTCAAAAGTTTGGACACACCTTCTCATTACAGGGTTTTTCTTTAGTTGTACTATATTCTACATTGTAGAATAATAGTGAAGACATCAAAACTATGAAATAACACATACAGTGAGGGGAAAAAAGTATTTGATCCCCTGCTGATTTTGTACGTTTGCCCACTGACAAAGAAATTATCAGTCTATAATTTTAATGGTAGGTTTATTTGAACAGTGAGACAGAATAACAACAAAAAAATCCAGACAAACGCATGTTAAAAATGTTATAAATTGATTTGCATTTTAATGAGGGAAATAAGTATTTGACCCCCTCTCAATCAGAAAGATTTCTGGCTCCCAGGTGTCTTTTATACAGGTAACGAGCTGAGATTAGGAGCACACTCTTAAAGGGAGTGCTCCTAATCTCAGTTTGTTACCTGTATAAAAGACACCTGTCCACAGAAGCAATCAATCAATCAGATTCCAAACTCTCCACCATGGCCAAGACCAAAGAGCTCTACAAGGATGTCAGGGACAAGATTGTAGACCTACACAAGGCTGGAATGGGCTACAATACCATCGGCAAGCAGCTTGGTGAGAAGGTGACAACAGTTGGTGCGATTATTCGCAAATGGAAGAAACAGAAAATAACTGTCTATCTCCCTCGGCCTGGGGCTCCATGCAAGATCTCACCTCGTGGAGTTGCAATGATCATGAGAACGGTGAGGAATCAGCCCAGAACTACACGGGAGGATCTTGTCAATGATCCCAAGGCAGCTGGGACCATAGTTACCAAGAAAACAATTGGTAACACACTACGCCGTGAAGGACTGAAATCCTGCAGTGCCCGCAAGGTCCCCCTGCTCAAGAAAGCACATATACAGTGCCGTCTGAAGTTTGCCAATGAATAACTGAATGATTCAGAGGAGAACTGGGTGAAAGTGTTGTGGTCAGATGAGACCAAAAACGAGCTCTTTGGCATCAACTCAACTCGCCGTGTTTGGAGGAGGAGAAATGCTGCCTATGACCCCAAGAACACCATCCCCACCGTCAAACATGGAGGTAGAAACATTATGCTTTGGGGGTGTTTTTCTGCTAAGGGGACAGTACAACTTCACCGCATCAAAGGGACGATGGACGGGGCCATGTACTGTCAAACCTTGGGGGAGAACCTCCTTCCCTCAGCCAGGGCATTGAAAATGGATTGTGGATGGGTATTCCAGCATGGCAATGACTCAAAACATATGGCCAAGGCAGCAAAGGAGTGGCTCAAGAAGAAGCACATTAAGGTCCTGGAGTGGCCTAGCCAGTCTCCAGACCTTAATCCCATAGAAAATCTGTGGAGGGAGCTGAAGGTTCGAGTTGCCAAACGTCAGCCTCGAAACCTTAATGACTTGGAGAAGATCTGCAAAGAGGAGTGGGACAAAATCCCTCCTGAGATGTGTGCAAACCTGGTGGCCAACTACAAGAAACGTCTGACCTCTGTGATTGCCAACAAGGGTTTTGCCACCAAGTACTAAGTCATGTTTTGCAGAGGGGTCAAATACTTATTTCCCTCATTAAAATACAAATCAATTGATAACATTTTTGACATGCGTTTTTCTGGATGTTTTTGCTGTTATTCTGTCTCTCACTGTTCAAATAACCTACCATTAAAATGATAGACTGATCATGTCTTTGTCAGTGGGCAAATGTACAAAATCAGCAGGGGATCAAATACTTTTTCCCCTCACTGTATGGAATCATGTAGTAACCAAAAAAGTGTTAAACAAATCAGAATATATTTGAGATTCTTCAAAGTAGCCACCCTTTGCCTTGACAGCTTTGCGCACTCTTGGCATTCTTTCAACCAGCTTCATGAGGTAGTCACCTGGAATGCATTTCAATTAACAGGTGTGCCTTGTTAAAAGTTAATTTGTGGAATTGATTTACTTCTTATTTTGTTTGAGCAGTTCTGTTGTGACAAGGTAGGGGTGGTATACAGAAGAGAGCCCTATTTGGTAAAAGACCAAGTCCATATTATGGCAAGAACAGCTCAAATAAGGAAAGAGAAACGACAGTCCATCATTATTTTAAGACATGAAGGTCAGTCAATCTGGAAAATTTCAAGAACTTTGAAAGTTTCTTCAAGTGCAGTCGCAAAAACCATCAAGCGCTATGATGAAATTGGCTCTCATGAGGACCGCCACAGGAAAGGAAGACCCAGAGTTACCTCTGCTGCAGAGGATAAGTTCATTAGTTACCAGCCTCAGAAATTGCAGCCCAAATAAATGCTTCAGAGTTCAAGTAACCGACACATCTCAACGTCAACTGTTCAGAGGGGACTGTGTGAATCAGGCCTTCATGGTCGAATTGCTGCAAAGAAACCACTACTAAAGGACACCAATAAGAAGAGACTTGCTTGGGCCAAGAAACATAAGCAATGGACATTAGACTGGTGGAAATCTGTCCTTTGGCCTGATGAGTCCAAATTTGAGATTTTTGGTTCCAACTGCCGTCTTTGTGAGATGCAGAGTAGGTGAACAGATGATCTCCGCATGTGTGGTACCCACCGTGAAGCATGGAGGAGGTGTTATGGTGTGGCGGTGCTTTACTGGTGACACTGTCTGTGATTTTATTTAGAATTCAAGGCACACTTAACCAGCATAGCTACCACAGCATTCTGCAGCGATACGCTAGCCCATCTGGTTTGCGCTTAGTGGGACTATCATTTGTTTTTCAACAGGACAATGACCCAAAACACACCTCCAGGCTGTGTAAGGGCTATTTGACCAAGAAGGAGAGTGATGGGAGTGCTGCATCAGATGACCTGGCCTCCACAATCACCAGACCTTAACCCAATTGAGATGGTTTGGGATGAGTTGGACCGAGGTGAAGGAAAAGCAGCCAACAATTGCTCAGCAAATGTGGGAACTCCTTCAAGACTGTTGGAAAAGCATTCCAGGTGAAGCTGGTTGAGAGAATGCCAAGAGTGTGCAAAACTGTCAAGGCAAAGGGTGGCTACTTTGAAGAATTTGTTTAAAACTTTGGTTACTACATTATTCCATATGTGTTATTTCATAGTTTTTATGTCTTCACTATTATTCTACAATGTAAAAGAAAAACCCTTGAATGAGTTGGCGTGTCCAAACTTTTGACTGGTACTGTAAATGAATGGAAAGCAATTTTTTGTTTTATTCACTTTTATGGCACTGTGCAATCCACAGTAGCACAGAGCACATTCAGTGAGAATGAATAGCGTTTGTCTAAGGCATAACCATAGAAGCAAATTGTCTTTGAGTTTGGCACAAATTCCAATCTATACACACATATACACACACACTATAGATATGTGGTAGTAGTAGGCTGAGGGCACACACTTAATGTGTTGTGAAATATTTTGTGAAATGTAATGTTTTTCATTGTATATAACTGCCTTAATTTTGCTGGACCCCAGGAAGTGTAGCTGCTGCCTTGGAAAATACAATCTAAATGTGTAATCTGAGTTTTTCATTGGCTGTGTGGTTTGTTGTTTCTCTTCATCTCCAGAACACAGTGCTGAGTGCCAAGCGCTTCATGGCGTCTCACCAGCCAGGCAAGTGGAGCATCACCTACACCAAGCTCAACCTGCAGAAGCCTGTGCCAAGGTTGGTCCCCTCATCCTCTGCCTACCTTTCCCTCTGATGTGGAATCACTTTATTTCTTAGTCGTTGAGTAATTTTTCGTACTTTTAATACTCCTCAGTAATGTTGCTGAATAATTAAACCTTCCACTAAAGGAGGGGGCTCTAGTCTAATTTTAGTTCTCTACCTCATGTTTGAATGCCCTAAACTTGGTTCTCAGAGACTTGCATGACATTTCCTGTCTGCTGTTACTCTGAATAAATGTGTGACCTGACTGTGGCCCTCAGTGACATCGTGATCTCGCGTTCCTGCGTGCCCAAGCCCATCGACCGGCTGGCCACGGAGATGGGGCTGCTGTCGGACGAGGTGGAGCTCTATGGGAAGACCAAGGCCAAGGTGCAGCTGGACATCATCAATCGCCTGCGGGCACAGCCTGATGGGAAATACGTGGTGGTCACTGGGTATGCTCTGTCTGTCTTGCTGTGTCAGTCTAGTTGTTTTGTACTGCGTACAATAACCTTTTGTTCTTGACTTGAATCTGTTATTGGTCTATCATGTTGTAGATGTAACTTGAAAAATGTGCTCCTTTTCACTACAGTGGCCTGGTACAGAACTCTTGATTTATCAAGATTGATGATCTATTATGCTCTTGGAAATGTTTCACACCAGTGTTAATGTTGTCTGTACCTCTAGAATCACCCCCACCCCACTGGGAGAGGGAAAGAGCACCACCACCATAGGACTGGTCCAGGCTCTGGGGGCTCACATGAAGCTCAACGTCTTTGCCTGTGTCCGCCAGCCCTCCCAAGGCCCCACCTTCGGAATCAAAGGTGAGCACTGAGTGATGCTGCCTTTTACTGACTGGTTGGATGCCTTTTGTGTGAAAATGTAAGGCTTTATCAGTGCTCAGTTGTTATCAATGCTAAATGCCTGGAATTATCTATCTACAGGAGGTGCTGCTGGAGGTGGATATTCTCAAGTCATTCCCATGGAGGAGGTACTGCACTGACTGATTTCCATTCTATTCCAGACATTGATCATTCAGGAAGGGGTTTCTGTATAAAGCTCTATTTGACCATATGGTTTAATTATGATTTCAGTTCAACCTCCACCTCACTGGAGACATCCACGCCATCACTGCTGCCAACAACCTGGTGGCGGCTGCCATCGACGCCCGTATGTTCCATGAAGCCACCCAAACAGACAAGGTGATCTCTCTCGGTTGTTGACCTCTGTTCTTGAAAAAGATTGCACTGCACAAGGTGGTATTCCATGTTTGATTAATGTGTGTGTCGGTCCATTTCTTATCTTTCTCACTCATTCCCTCTCCCACAGGCTTTATATAACCGTCTGGTCCCTCTTAGTGGAGGTCAGAGGACATTCTCCCCCATCCAGATAAACAGATTAAAGGTAGAAACTCAAACGTATCCATGGATGACAATGCTGTTATTATCTTGACTGTCTTGGGGAGGGAAATTATCTACTAGTGTCTCTGTATGTGATCCCTATAGAGACTGGGCATTGAGAAGACTGACCCCACCACTCTGACCGAGGAGGAGATAACCCGCTTTGCCCGACTAGACATGGACCCAGACTCCATCACCTGGAACAGAGGTACTGGTGATGTACCCTGAGTGGCCTGACTGTTGTTGTGTATAATGTATACTATACTACAGGGCTCTCCAACACTGTTCCTGGAAAGCTACCGTCCTGTAGGTTTTCACTCTAACCCTAATCTAGCACACCTGATTCTTATGATTAGCTAGTTGATAAGCTGAACCAGGTTAGTTACAACTGGGGTTGGAGCGACAATGTACAGGAGGGTAGCTCTCCAGGAACAGGGTTGGAGAGCCTTGCTATACTACGACATGTCAGTGTTGAGATGTAAAAGAGTGTTTTAATGGTCTTTGTGTCATTTCAGTGTTAGACACCAATGATCGTTTCCTGAGGAAGATCACAATTGGCCAATCGCCGACTGAGAAAGGACACACTAGGGAGGTACAGTTGAAGTCGGAGGTTTACATACACCTTAGCCAAATACATTTAAACTCAGTTTTTCACAATTCCTGACATTTAATCCTAGTAAAAATTCCCTGTCTTAGGTCACTTTATTTTAAGAATGTGAAATGTCAGAATAATAGGAGAGTGATTTTATTTAAGCTTTTATTTCTTTCATCATATTCCCAGTGGGTCAGAAGTTTACATACACTCAATTTGTATTTGGTAGCATTGCCTTTAAATTGTTTATCTTGGTTCAAATGTTTTGGGTAGCCTTCCACAAGCTTCCCACAATAAGTTGGGTGAATTTTGGCCCATTCCTCCTGACAGAGCTGGTGTAACTGAGTCAGGTTTGTAGGCCTCCTTGCTCGCACACGCTTTTTCAGTTTTGCCCACACATTTCTATAGGATTGAGGTCAGGGCTTTGTGATGGCCACTCCAATACCTTGACTTTGTTGTCCTTAAGCCATTTTGCCACAACTTTGGAAGTATGCTTGGGGTCATTGTCCATTTGGAAGACCCAAGTTTTAACTTCCTGACTGATGTCTTGATATGTTGCTTCAATATATCCACATAATTTTCCTTCCTCATGATGCCATCTATTTTGTGAAGTGCACCAGTCCCTCCTGCAGCAAAGCACGCCCACAGCATGATGCTGCCACCCCCGTCCTTCACGGTTGGGGATGGTGTTCTTCGGCCTGCCCCTTTTTCCTCCAAACGTAACGATAGTCATTATGGCCAAACAGTTCTATTTTTGTTTCATCAGACCAGAGGACATTTCTCCAAAAAGTACGATCTTTGTCCCCATGTGCAGTTGCAAACTGTAGTCTGGCTTTTTTATGGCAGTGGCTTCTTCCTTGCTGAGCGGCCTTTCAGGTTATGTTGATATAGGACTCGTTTTACTGTGGATATAGATACTTTTGTACCTGTTTCCTCCAGCATCTTCACAAGGTCCTTTGCTGTTGTTCTGGGATTGATTTGCACTTTTCGCACCAAAGTATGTTCATCTCTAGGAGACAGAACGCGTGTCCTTCCTGAGCGGTATGACGGCTGCGTGGTCCCATGGTGTTTATACTTGCGTACTATTGTTTGTACAGATGAACGTGGTACCTTCAGGCGTTTGGAAATTGCTCCCAAGGATGAACCAGACTTGTAGAGGTCTACATATTTTTTTCTGAGGTCTTGGCTGATTTCTTGTGATTTTCCCATGATGTCAAGCAAAGAGGCACTGAGTTTGAAGGTAGGCCTTGAAATCCACAGGTCCACCTCCAATTGACTCAAATGATGTCAATTAGCCTATCAGAAGCTTCTAAAGCCATGACATCATTTTCTGGAATTTTCCAAGCTGTTTAAAGGCACAGTCAACTTAGTGTATGTAAACTTCTAACCCTCTGGAATTGTGATACAGTGAAATAATCTGTCTGTAAACAATTGTTGGAATAATGACTTGTCATGCACAAAGTAGATGTCCTAACCGACTTGCCAAAACTATAGTTTGTTAAAAAGAAATTTGTGGAGTGGTTGAAAAACGAGTTTTAATGACTCTAACCTAAGTGTATGTAAACTTCCGACTTCAACTGTATGTAAAAGTTCATAGTGCCCATGCTTTTCTTCTTCCACCCACTGATACTGACCTGTTGACTCGTGTTCTGTCCCCCTCCCCCAGGCTCAGTTCAGCATCACTGTGGCCAGTGAGATCATGGCCGTGCTGGCTCTCACCAGCAGCCTGAAGGACATGCGCCAGCGCCTGGCCAAGATGGTGGTGGCCACCAGCCGCAGTGGGCAGCCCATCACCACAGAGGACCTGGTAAGTGGCCCTAGTCTCCCTTTGTCACAATGTCAACCAACACATAGACAGTCAACACAGGTCCTCTGTGGTGGCCACCACTGACAATTGCTCTGTTTTTGACAACATTTACTGTGGTTGTGCAATGATCAGTGGTTGGATTGATGTTTGATGAGTGCTTGTTGATTCTGGCCTTAAAGGATTCTCACCATGTCTTCCTTCCCTCTGTGCAGGGTGTGAGTGGAGCCCTGACTGTGCTGATGAGGGATGCCATCAAGCCCAACCTGATGCAAACGCTGGAGGTGGGCGGGACAGGGAGGGAGGGAAGGAGGGAGGGAGCTCCTCAGGGTGGAACTGTACTGGCCTGGCAACTGGAGGAGAGGAGATGGAAGCAAAGCCTTGTGGGAAAATGGGTTTCGGATTCTTTAATTGGTTAGGGTAGTGTGGATGTGAAGCTTCCTACATTCTCCTGGAGCAGTGATGACACAGTCTGGAGAAGATAGATAGCATGTGCTTGTGGCTGTTTTTAGTTCAGTTACTAATCCCCTGTTTGTCTTTGAAAAGTTCAGAGGCAGGATTGGGTACAAAGTAGCTAGTCTATTTGCATTAAATCACCAGATATTTCAAAGCATAGAACTTGCTTAGCTAAGTTTATGTTGACTGCAGATAAGTGATTCTGAATCGGTATGGTGTTTGATGTGGTAGACTTGACTGCTGTGAGTCAGAGTGGTGACATTGCCACAGGCTGAGTGTGTTTTCTGCTGCTGGATGATTGAGAGGGGTTTCTCTCTACAGGGAACCCCCGTGTTCGTCCACGCCGGACCTTTCGCCAACATCGCCCACGGCAACTCCTCCATCCTGGCTGATAAGATAGCCCTGAAGCTGGTCGGCCCGGAGGGATTTGTGGGTAAGTGGAGCTGAAACACACCTTCCTTGGCAAGAAACAAAACTATGAACAACTCTTGTAATGTGAGTGTTGGTTGTCTCTCTCATGGGACAGTGACGGAGGCTGGGTTCGGCGCTGACATCGGTATGGAGAAATTCTTCAACATAAAATGCCGCTACTCCGGCCTGCGGCCTCACGTGGTGGTGCTGGTGGCCACTGTCCGAGCCCTGAAGATGCATGGAGGCGGGCCAACGGTGAGTGACTGCACAGTTTACTGGTGGTCTCTGAAATCTTTCTACCCTTGTTCTAATTGTGGTGCCAATGGGCAGCTTTCAGAAAGACTGCTTCAGGAAAAAACTATTAAAGGACAGGTTTTGCCCCCTCGAAGGAAGAGTAGTGGTTGCTCAGTGTAGTGAATTATAATCATCACATCAACCTAGAGAATGTTTATATATATATATTTCTCCTATAGAATGTCCTATCCCACTTCAATGAATGCAGGTGCACTGCTGAGAATGTAATTCCATTTCCTGCTGTGTGGAGTTCACACAGGAAGACCTCAGTAATTCTGCTGCTTTAGCTCTATCCCCACAAACACTAGTATGTTTCATGTCCTTGGACAGGGAATAGGAATACAGCCCGTTATTGTTTATTCTAGTTTAGTAATTTGATGGCTTTTTGACTGATCTTTCTCCTTTGCTGCAGGTTACTGCTGGGATGGCACTGCCCAAAGAATATGTGGAAGAGGTAAGACACTTCTCCGCGCCTCACCCACTCTCACTTCAGCCCCACCCCTTTCACACCTCATCACATCAGGGAAAGAGCAGCCATCCTAAATGTGCCACTTCCCTTTTATGATAATGTTCTGTTAATGGCATATTGCTCATCCTCTGCACAAGTTGGTCGTAAGTAGGGCTGTGGCGGTCATAAAATTGTCAGCCGGTGATTGTCAAGCAAATAACTGCCGGTCTCACGGTAATTGACCGTTAATTAACATAAACACATTTAGCATCTCCTGGCTTCTACGCATAGCCTATAAGCCACTGATGCAGACCTTTGGAACATCTACATTTAAAAAAGCATAATAAATCCATTATTTATTTCAGACAGGTCTAAAGAAACATGATATGAAGAAAATGTAGTCTACTTCAGAAGAACTGTATAACATACTCTGAGTTGTCCTTGTGTTAGGCCCTGATCTGCCTATGCCATATGGCTGTGGGCTACACTAGTTCATTTAGCAGACAAGATTTGCTTAGAATTCCGTGGCATTATTTTATAGTATGAAGAATACAACTGAACATAGCTGAATAAAATAAAGGATATTTTCTCCAAACTATTTGAGGGAGTGCGCACATGCGGCTGTTCTGTGTTGAGCGGTTAACAAAGAAACAGGTACTCCTATATGCTACATTTAGAGTTATTTATGTAACTTTAGTTGTGATACAAATGTTGGACTATATGTTTAGATTTTTAATACATTCTAAGGCTGCATGATGCGACTCTAATGATGATTTGAAAATTTTTGCATGAAAGGCATGAGCTCTGCTTAGTTTTTTTGCGCAGGCTGTACACACTTCATCAGTCTCTCATTCACAATTTGACAAGCCCTTGATAATGCCTCGAATTTCCCGGCTGCATCCCCTTTGTGTGGCCGTAATGCCCCCTAAAAAAAATCCAGTGGCCATTGTGCCCTTGGGTTGAACATAATTATTATAATTCCCTTCTCCCGGCTGAATGCCGAAGCACCTCTCACTCACATAGCTCTGTCATGTGATCGGGTCTTTCTCACAGGCTACAAGTGAAGACACACATCCGGGATGTAACTGCACGCGTCTTTATCCAATTCCGAGGCGCATATTGGAAGAACTGTCCACATTTACTTTTCATCAGCCAACAAGATGAGTAGGCCTAACGAACAGCAAAATAATAATAATAATAATAATAATAATATGCCATTTAGCAGACGCTTTTATCCAAAGCGACTTACAGTCAAGCACTAGCCTATGTCAATCTACTATCCCCCATAGTACAAAAGTTGACCTATTCTGTGCGATAAATACATTTTCCAAACATAGTCTGGGACAGTTGTGGGATGCGATAGATCCCAAATAAATACAACCACTAGCATAAAAAAACCTGTTTTAAGCAATGATCCTGACGCAATAGATGAGGTTTAGCTTAAAATGATCAACTATTAGGCTATTTTTTCACATTATAAGCGCACACGGCAGTAGGCTATAAGCGCAAATGTTCCATTAGCTGGAAAACACAATTCTCAAAAGTGACCACAAACGCGATTATGCATGTAATGCTTTTATTATAAAGGTGCATTTTTATGGTGAAAATGATCTTCCCCAAACTTGAAACTCACGCGCTGCGTATGTATGCCAGTTAGGCTCTACACCCATTATAAAGCGGATGAATGTGCTTCATTTTAAGAAGTTATTTGGCCACTTCAGTTGTGATACAAACCTTATCAAAACATATTTTTTTTACATTTTTAGTCATTTAGCAGACGCTCTTATCCAGAGCGACTTACATGAGCAATTAGGGTTAAGTGCCTTGCTCAAGGGCACATCGACAGATTTTTCACCTAGTCGGCTCGGGGATTAGAACCAGCGACCTTTCGGTTACTGGCACAACGCTCTTAACCACTAAGCTACCTGCCGCCCCATATAGGCCTATGGGCTAGGCTACATGAGGTGTACGACTATGATTTGAAAAAGTAGCACACAAAAAAAAAGTGTGCGCTGTTTGCCTTAAGCTGTGCATCATTCACAAGTGATAATATATAATTCACAAGTGATAGGCTAATATTGTCACCCATCACACTATTCTTGATTTTATTATTGTCTTTACATATATTATTTAGTATATGTGTGAAATTTGTTTTGATTTAGAAAGGTGCATGGTAATGGTCCAGTCTCGAAACCGGGGCAGTGTATGTATGCACACATGACTGTAAGTCGCTTTGGATAAAAGCGTCTGCTAAATGGCTTATTATTATTTAAAAAATACATGTAATCTATGCACTTAAATAGCGATTGGAGGATGCTTTTCCCGTGGTTCATTTTTATGCCAGCCAGGTAGGCTATACTCCTGTTTTTAAAGAGGAGCAATGTTCTTAATATTAGGAAAGTTGAGATATAAATATAGTAGGCCTAGCCTATAGAAAGCTGATGGGATCTTCTTTTTAAGAGGCCATCACTCTGTTTTCTCACGCAATTGCATAGCCTATAGAAATGTTGTGCAACATGACCTCATGGGCTCTCGTGAAGTGTTTTTAGTTTAGGTTTTCGATTACATTTGCATTGATGTCAGTGATTAGAGGGACAATAGAGTACCTGGCAGTTAGCAAGTTTGGTAGGCTACTAATGACTATCTGCAGCATCAGCGCTTGGAGAAGCCTTATTACCGTGACTAAACGGTGTGGCTGTAATACGGTCCCCGTAACAGCCTTAGTCGTAAGACTTCATTCATTAGAAGGCATCAAGAGCATGCATGTGGTATTTGCTTTGTGTCTTGTGACACAATTCTCATCTGATGCAATTAGTTGACCTGAACTACACAGACCCATCCATTATGCAGTGCAATTAGGATCAGTTCCCATGCTCCCTCAAGTTTTTTTTTTTAATGGACCATTGCCTAATACCTACTGGCTACATGTGATCATTGATGTGAGTAGAAAATGGCTGCACTTAACTCCCTCTCAGGGGTGTCTCTACAAAGGCAGAGTGTACGCAGTGTATTATGTAATAGCTGTATATAAAAAAAAGACCTATTGTGTGTTCCTGTGTAGAACCTTGAGCTGCTGGAGAAGGGCTGCAGTAACATGAGGAAACAGGTGGAGAATGCCAAGCACTTTGGAGTGCCAGTGGTGGTGGCTGTCAACGCTTTCAAGTAAGTCATGGTTGGTGAGCATCTGAAACTATTTTACCCCTCTTGTCCTGTGTCTTAGTGTTTTGACCTCTGACCTGTGTGGCCCTGACTGCAGGACGGACACTGAATCAGAGCTGGACCTGATCTGCAGCCTGGCCAAGGAAGTGGGGGCCTTTGATGCGGTGCGCTGCTCTCACTGGGCTGAAGGGGGTGCTGGTGCCGTGGCCTTGGGACAAGCTGTGCAGAGGGCTTCTGAGGCCCCCAGTGACTTCAAGTTCCTCTATGATGTGGAGGTAAAGCGAGCATCAGCCTCAGTCAAAGACCTTGGTTTTCACTATATGACATGGATGCATTGATTTCATCCTGCTCAGGTCATAGGGTTTTTCTCATCTCGACTGTTCACTGGCTGGACCCTAATGCTATTATTTTTCTTCCATTCATCCAATCTCATCAGTGTTGTTTCATGTCTGTAAATGAAATAAATCACTGATTCACTTCTGAGGCCTAGATTACTGTTTTGATCAGAGTATTTATACATCAAGTTATTTCCCAGAGTAGTATCACTTAATCTTTCTCCTCATGTACTGTTGCAAATGCGTGCACTAAATTTAAACGTTGGAGAATCAGTGTAGATGAGCTGAACCAGTTTGATGGTACTCATGTTGTACGTATGTGTATTTTTGTCTGTCTGAATCGCCTGTAGCTGCCCATTGCGGATAAGATCAGGATCATTGCTCAGAAGATCTATGGAGCTGATGACATAGAGCTGCTGCCAGATGCCCAGCACAAGGTGGCGCTCTACACCAAACAGGTACAATAGCTATGAGACCAAGGCTTTTAATGGAGACGGTTCTTTGTTTACATGCTTTGTATAGAACCTATTTGTTTGTAGCACTCTACTCATTGATTTCTGGAGCACATTTCAAACAGTCTGGAGGACAGACTTGAAATGTTAATTTTTTTTCAGTCAACAAAGATTGACATTTCTATTTGAGGTTTTACTGTCCTTTCAATGAACGCCATATTTGTTTTGTTCAGGGATTTGGGAATCTGCCCATCTGCATGGCAAAGACCCACCTGTCCCTGTCCCACGAGGCGGATAAGAAGGGCGTGCCCACAGGGTTCATCCTGCCCATCAGAGACATCCGTGCCAGTGTGGGTGCTGGGTTCCTCTACCCTCTGGTTGGCACGGTAAGAAGGCACTGGCCTGGAGAATAACTGTATTTAAAATATCCATTAACTCAACAGAGAATCAACTGAATCAATGAAGAGTCAAATCAATCTCTTGATCAGAGGACACAAAAATACTCATACAGTTTATTTATTTTTGGCCCCCATCCTAGATGCCCACGATTCCAGGGCTGCCCACAAGGCCCTGTTTCTATGACATTGACCTAGACCCTGAGACTGAGCAGGTCAACGGACTCTTCTAAGAGGGGCTCCACCCTGTTTAACGGTAAGGAATCCACTACATTAGAGCTATACAAATGACATCGATACAACAACCCATACAAACCTACAGATATGGTTGATGTCTGTAATGATTCTGGATATTCTTTCTCTCTCTGTTGCTCTCTCTTTCTAGCTATCTTTCCATTAACAGAGGTGGTCTATGGTCTGCAGCCCCCAAAACGAGCATTAATGAAATGTGATGGAGTAGTAACTGGAAGCGTTTCCCTCCCCTGTCAAAAATGTCCTGTATTTTTCACTGTCGCTGACGTCTGTCAATAATACATTTTCTCTGCCCGTGGTCACTGAAGGGTAAATTAAATAAACGTAATTAATTAAGAAACGGTTTGTCCCCTGAGATTACTCTGTATTAGAATTGTAGATGGTGGAAATGGCCTGTTTACATTAATTTAAAGAGATTATCCGGTACCTTTTTGTATACCTTTTTAGCCAGTAGCTCTGAAAGTAGCACTCACGAGCCAAAAGTGGCCCCGAAAATTGTTTACTATGTCACATATGTGCACCACGTCATTGCTCTCTCTCGTGTCCACTGAGCCATTGGGCCCGCCCTGCAAACTCATTTGATAACGCTGGGCAGGCCTCTTGCTAGCTGTCGCTCAAATGCGAGGGGCTGAAGCTAATTGGCTAGAACTCGAATTGCTAGGGTGCTGTCCCAAGTGCGGGGGAAATGTAGGGAAAATGGCGCGGCACAGCTTCCAGAAAATTTGCATTCAAACTAGGGATTTCGTGGCTAATTGAGTTAAAAGAGTAATTTTTCTCATAGATTATTCATGTATGAACTACACATTGACACATACAGGCCAAAGTGGGAGGTTAAAAAATATATACTTTCTTAGTCGCCAAAGTACCGGAGCATGTTTTTAATAATCACCTCTGAACATAAACAGACATTCCCAGGAGCTACTGTCTCAGACCCTCCAGAAGTTCAGTGTTGTCTGATAATACTGTACATGGTAAGGAGACACTGGGGAGAGGGAGGTCTCAGATCATGAATCAGGTGGTTATCAGTGTGATTTGTGTGTACTGCCACATGGGCTGGTAAAGGACAGTGTTTGGATTCAAAACAATGTTTAAAATAAAACAAATTCTGACATTGCTGCCTTGTAAAACGTTCTGTGACACTGACCATCCTTGTTGTTTAAAGATTGGTCCTAATTGTGTCTCTTCAAATTTGTTCTTGTTGCATTTCTTTGTTCAATATTCTAATATAGAATGATCAATGACTAATACTGTTAAAGTACTGTACACTAATTGATTCTGTGAAATTTGAGCATGTTACTTAATCAATGACTGACTTTTATATCAGAAAATAATGATTCAATGGAAAAAGTATTTTAAATCGAAAACAAATGTCTTTGTTTATTGGAAAATTGGAAACACACTTTTTTTAAAAATGAATAGCACAGGAGCTATGTGATTTTTTGAGTGCATTTCCCAACTACGGGTTTGATTATTTCCTGCCCTTAGTTGATTACCTTACTAATTGAAACCAAGTTAATTTGCTCTATGGACAGTGTCTCCTCACTGTCTGATTTTATAAATGGGTTTGTTCTGGTGTGTGTGTGTGTGTGTGAGTTTGTATATGTGTATATACAGTTGAAGTCGGAAGTTTACATACACTTAGGTTGGAGTCATTAAAACTTGTTTTTCAACCACTCCACACATTTCTTGTTAACAAACTATAGTTTTGGCAAGTCGGTTAGGACATCTACTTTGTGCATGACAGAAGTAATTTTTCCAACAATTGTTTACAGACAGATTATTTCACTTATAATTCACTGTATCACAATTCCAGTGGGTCAGAAGTTTACATGCACTAAATTGACTGTGCCTTTAAACAGCTTGGAAAATTCCAGAAAATGATGTCATGGTTTTAGAAGCTTCTGATAGGCTAATTGACATCATTTGAGTCAATTGGAGGTGTACCTGTGGATGTATTTCAAGGCCTACCTTCAAACTCAGTGCCTCTTTGCTTGAAATCATGGGAAAATCACAGTCAGCCAAGACCTCAGAAAAATATTTGTTGACCTCCACAAGTCTGGTTCATCCTTGGGAGCAATTTCCAAATGCCTGAAGGTACCACGTTCATCTGTACAAACAATAGTACGCAAGTATAAACACCATGGGACCACGCAGCCGTCATACCGCTCAGGAAGGAGGCGTGTTCTGTCTCCTAGAGATGAACGTACTTTGGTGCGAAAAGTGCAAATCAATCCCAGAACAACAGCAACGGACCTTGTGAAGATGCTGGAGGAAACGGGTATCTACAGTGAAGGGGAAAAAAGTATTTGATCCCCTGCTGATTTTGTATGTTTGCCCACTGACAAAGACATGATCAGTCTATAATTTTAATGGTAGGTTTATTTGAACAGTGAGAGACAGAATAACAACAAAAAAATCCAGAAAAACGCATGTCAAAAATGTTATAAATTGATTTGCATTTTAATGAGGGAAATAAGTATTTGACCCCTCTGCAAAGCATGACTTAGTACTTGGTGGCAAAACCCTTGTTGGCAATCACAGAGGTCAGACGTTTCTTGTAGTTGGCCACCAGGTTTGCACACATCTCAGGAGGGATTTTGTCCCACTCCTCTTTGCAGATCTTCTCCAAGTCATTATGGTTTCGAGGCTGATGTTTGGCAACTCAAACCTTTCAGCTCCCTCCACAGATTTTCTATGGAATTAAGGTCTGTTGCCTTGGCCGTGTGTTTTGGGTCATTGTCATGCAGGAATACCCATCCACGACCCATTTTCAATGCCCTGGCTGAGGGAAGGAGGTTCTCACCCAAGATGTGACGGTACATGGCGCCGTTCATCATCCCTCTGATGCGGTGAAGTTGTCCTGTATTCCTCCTCCTCCAAACACGGCGAGTTGATGCCAAAGAGCTCCATTTTGGTCTCATCTGACCACAACACTTTCACCCAGTTCTCCTCTGAATCATTCAGATGTTCATTGGCAAACTTCAGACGGGCCTGTATATGTGCTTTCTTGAGCAGGGGGACCTTGCGGGCGCTGCAGGATTTCAGTCCTTCACGGCGTAGTGTGTTACCAATTGTTTTCTTGGTGACTATGGTCCCAGCTGCCTTGAGATCATTGACAAGATCCTCCCGTGTAGTTCTGGGCTGATTCCTCACTGTTCTCATGATCATTGCAACTCCACGAGGTGAGATCTTGCATGGAGCCCCAGGCCGAGGGAGATTGACAGTTATTTTGTGTTTCTTCCATTTGCGAATAATCGCACCAACTGTTGTCACCTTCTCACCAAGCTGCTTGGCGATGGTCTTGTAGCCCATTCCAGCCTTGTGTAGGTCTACAATCTTGTCCCTGACATCCTGGGAGAGCTCTTTGGTCTTGGCCATGGTGGAGAGTTTGGAATCGGATTGATTGATTGCTTCTGTGGACAGGTGACTTTTATACAGGTAACAAACTGAGATTAGGAGCACTCCCTTTAAGAGTGTGCTCCTAATCTCAGCTCGTTACCTGTATAAAAGACACATGGGAGCCAGAAATCTTTCTGATTGAGAGGGGGTCAAATACTTATTTCCCTCATTTAAAATGCAAATCAATTTATAACATTTTTGACATGTGTTTTTCTGGATTTTTTTGTTGTTATTCTGTCTCTCACTGTTCAAAGAAACCTACCATTCAAATTATAGACTGATCATTTCTTTGTCAGTGGGCAAATGTACAAAATCAGCAGGGGATCAAATACTTTTTTCCCTCACTGTGTATATGTATATATTTATTTTTATTATTTATGTGTGGGGGTTTGAGGTTCCAGTCTGCAATAGTTGTGTGACTGGCGACCCAGAGAAGCTCCATTCATTAGAGATTAATATGAGGCTGACATGGACCACCTGCTGGGGCTGCCGTCTGCCTAGCAGCACAACTACATGCAGGATCAACGCCAGGGAGCATAGCTGTTTTATTATGCTACTCGAAGAGCAGGAGAAACTAACACCACTGTACTCTTAACTCCCAACACTACCACCTCTATTTCACTGCTATTGTGTTCATTATAAACAAAGGGATTCATAATATACCATACACTGACTGACTGAAATCAATCAGAGCTCAAAGGGAGGGTCTTGGTGCATCATTTATGTTCTGGTGACAATTTGTGATAACTGAAAACAGTGGGCAGGACAACAATATCTATATCACTGTGATTCATGTCAATCAATGCGTCACTATGGAAACGGGGTAGGATGCTGCTCCATTTGCCAAGGTATGACAGGGCTCCTTGGACAGTTGTGCATGGACAACGAGTTGGAAATAAGCACGCGCTGTCAAGACCTCTTGGGGTATTGTGCCACCATGTATCTCATGGCATTGAGGAATTCAAAAATATTGTGCTACAGAGTTTTACAAACAGTAAGTAAAACATGAATTTTTACATCTGAGTTGTATTTTGATTGCTTTACTCGACCATTTGCGTAGATTCAATTTAATTGCAATTCATTCATTCATTATTTTTTTGCTCAATGCCTTTACCTGATTGTTACCTTTTCATCTTTAATTTCTTCATTATTAGCCTAACAAATGTAAACGTAATAACAGCCTCAATATTTATTGAGTCATGGGGTAAAAATAGACAACTAATATTGGGTCAAAATTATCTAATTGGCATAATTCGTCTCAAAAGTGTGACTCATTCATGCCCAGCTGTCAGTTAAGACAAGAAATACCTTGAAAGTCAGGAACCGTAATAGTGATGAATATTGTGGTTCTGCAGATAAGAGGAATTTCAAAGCCATTTGTTGTACTTGAGAATGGTATGTGTCCTTTCAACTACTGTATCTGATATGTATGCCTCAAAATACACTTACTACTGTTGCACCAGCAAAATTATATTGATTGCACAATTCTTCACACTTTTTAATTCCTCAATGTGTGTGTTTTATTCTGGCAGGATATCAGCCCTATGAAGGTCATTAAGGATTTTGTCCTCCGGTGTCACGGTTGTGTAATGTTTTGACACATCCAGCTTCCTCTTGAAGATAAATAACTGAAGAGCTGGTCTGATAATAAATCAACCATGTCAGTCAAAGAGGCTTCGATTGGACATGCTCAGGGAAAAGTGGGTCTGAGTAGAAAGCTGACGGGTCCTCCACGACGACTCCTTGGTAAATCAAAGACTAGCATTGACATGGAGAGGAAGGGAAAGACTTGGGCTTGGGGACAGAAGGGATCAGGGGACAGCAATGGCACCAAGGAAGACGCCATGCCTGGCTGCCAGGACACAGTCATTGAAGAGGTTCCACTGAAATTTACCACCAAGAGCCCTCAGAAACCTGATTCACAAGACGAGCCGGTAACACTAGAAAACCCTAGGGGAACAACAAAGACAACTTTCATACAAAGTGATGTAAAAGCTGATTATGTAGGCCAAAAGAGGCAGAAACAAGACTTAAGGAAGCGTTGGAGGCGATGTTTCTCTCCATCTCTCATCTGCATTAGAAGGTGGCGGAAGAGAGCTGGTGAGAAGGAAGAAGGTCATGATATCACATTTTTCAACAAGCAAACCAGAGACTCTGACTTTGCGGTTCAACCAACTGCAATTTACAGTGTAACTTGTGAAAATAAAGTTAACAATCGCTCCAACCATGACACTCCAGCGATCGAAGGGAAGGAGGAAAAGTTAAAAGTTAAAACCTGGAGAATCTTCAAAAGGCTCATAAAGGACCATTCAAAAAAAAAGCAAGAACAGATGTCTCTACAAGTTCATTCTCCTTGTT